TTACGTGCTACATCATACCTTGTATATTTATTTATCCTCTTTTTCATAAAATATGTATTACTTATTACCAAATTTCTTTCTACACATAGCTCAATTAAAGGCTCCCCATTTACATTTACCCCTGGCACCCCAAATTTACCTACTACTCCCTCCATAACATTTTTACCCACTTTAGCATTGAAATCCCCAACCACCATTACTCTCACACTTGATTCAAAACTCCCCATGCATTCACTCAACATTTCCCAGAATCTCTCTCTCTCCTCTACACTTCTCTCCTTCTCCAGGTGCATACACGCTTACTATAACCACTTTTCACATCCAATCTTTTTTTTAAACTCCACATAATCCTTGAATTTATATATATATATATATATATATATATATATATATATAAAATATATATATATATATATATATATATATATATATATTTTTTTTTTTTTTTTCAACAAGTTGGCCGTCTCCCACCGGGGCAGGGTGACCCAAAAAAGAAAGAAATCCCCAAAAAGAAAATACTTTCATCATCATTCAACACTTTCACCAAACCACTCGCACATTATCACTGTTTTTGCAGAGGTGCTCAGAATACAACAGTCTAGAAGCATACACATATAAAGATACACAACATATCCCTCCAAACTGCCAATATCCCAAACCCCCTCCTTTAAAGTGCAGGCATTGTACTTCCCATTTCCAGGACTCAAGTCCGACTATATGAAAATAACCGGTTTCCCTGAATCCCTTCACTAAATATTACCCTGCTCACACTCCAACAGATCGTCAGGTCCCAAGTACCATTCGTCTCCATTCACTCCTATCTAACACGCTCACGCACGCTTGCTGGAAGTCCAAGCCCCTTACCCACAAAACCTCCTTTACCCCCTCTCTCCAACCCTTTCGAGGACGACCCCTACCCCGCCTTCCTTCCCCTATAGATTTATATTGCTTTCCATGTCATTCTACTTTGATCCATTCTCTCTAAATGACCAAACCACCTCAACAACCCCTCTTCTGCCCTCTGACTAATACTTTTATTAACTCCACACCTTCTCCTAATTTCCACACTCCGAATTTTCTGCATAATATTTACACCACACATTGCCCTTAAACAGGACATCTCCACTGCCTCCAACCGTCTCCCTCGCTGCTGCATTTACCACCCAAGCTTCACACCCATATAAGAGTGTTGGTACTACTATACTTTCATACATTCCCTTCTTTGCCTCCATAGATAACGTTTTTGACTCCACATATACCTCAACGCACCACTCACCTTTTTTCCCTCATCAATTCTATGATTAACCTCATCCTTCATAAATCCATCCGCCGACACGTCAACTCCCAAGTATCTGAAAACATTCACTTCTTCCATACTCCTCCTCCCCAATTTGATATCCAATTTTTCTTTATCTAAATCATTTGACACCCTCATCACCTTACTCTTTTCTATGTTCACTTTCAACTTTCTACCTTTACACACATTCCCAAACTCATCCACTAACCTTTGCAATTTTTCTTTAGAATCTCCCATAAGCACAGTATCATCAGCAAAAAGTAACTGTGTCAATTCCCATTTTGAATTTGATTCCCCATAATTTATATATATATATATATATATATATATATATAAATATATAATATATATATATATATATTATATATATATATATATATATATATATATACAGTGGAACCCCCGGTTAACGATTTTAATTCCGTGCAAGAGGGCTCATCGTTATGCGAAATAATCGTTATGCGAATGAATTTTCCCCATAAGAAATAATGGAAATCAAATTAATCCGTGCAAACGCCCAAAAGTATGAAAAAAAATTTTTTTACCACATGAAATGTTAATTTTAATACACACAAACTGAAAAAGGCATGCACAATTAAATGACACTTACTTTTATTGAAGATCTGGTGATGATTGATGGGATGGGAGGAGGGGAGAGCATTATCTTCTTACTGTTTAGAAGGGGAATCCCCTTCCATTACGACTTGAGGTAGCAAGTCCTTTTCCGGGGTTACTTCCCTTCTTCTTTTAATGCCACTAGGACCAGCTTGAGAGTCACTGGACCTCTTCGCACAAACAAATCTGTCCATAGAGCTCTGTACCTCCCGTTCCTTTACGATTTGTCTAAAATGGGCCACAACATTGTCATTGAAATAGTCACCAGCACGGCTTGCAACAGCTGTGTCAGGGTGATTTTCATCTATAAAGGTTTGCAGTTCAACCCACTGTGCACACATTTCCTTAATCTTTGAAGTAGGCACAATGGATTCCACAACTGGCATAGGCTTCTCAGGGTTAGCCCCAAACCCTTCAAAATCTTTCTTAATTTCCATACTAATTCTCACCCTTTTACCACAGGGTTGGCACTAGAAGCTTTCTTGGGGCCCATGGTCACTTATTTTCCAGAAACAGCACCGAAAATACTGTAATAATACGAAATATTCCGAGTGTATGCTTGGATGTTACCGCGGAGGCTGGCTGGTAAACAATGGGACGGAGCGGCACATGTGAGGCTGGCTGAGGCACATTGGACGCGTCTCGGACGAAAATCGGTATGCGGGTTTTTAATCGGGATGCGGGGAAAAAAATTTTGCGATAAAAGTAATCGTTATGCGGGAAAAATCGCTATGCGATGCCATCGTTATGCGGGGGTCCACTGTATATATATATATATATATTATATATAATATATATATATATATATATTTATATATATATATATATATATTTATATATATATATATATATATATTTATATATTATATATATATATTTATATATATATATATATTTATATATATATATATATATATATATATATATATATATATAATATATATATATATATATATATTATATAATAATATATATATATATATATATATATAAAAGAGAAGTTGCAGAGATTGGTGGATGAATTTGGTAGGGTGTGCAAAAGAAGAAAATTAAAGGTGAATACAGGAAAGAGTAAAGGGTTATGAGGATAACAAAAAGATTAGGTGATGAAAGATTGAATATCAGATTGGAGGGAGAGAGTATGGAGGAGGTGAACTATTCAGATATTTGGGAGTGGACGTGTCAGCAGATGGGTCTATGAAAGATGAGGTGAATCATAGAATTGATGAGGGAAAAAGAGTGAGTGGTGCACTTAGGAGTCTGTGGAGACAAAGAACTTTGTCCTTGGAGGCAAAGAGGGGAATGTATGAGAGTATAGTTTTACCAACGCTCTTATATGGGTGTGAAGCGTGGGTGATGAATGTTGCAGCGAGGAGAAGGCTGGAGGCAGTGGAGATGTCATGTCTGAGGGCAATGTGTGGTGTGAATATAATGCAGAGAATTCGTAGTTTGGAAGTTAGGAGGAGGTGCGGGATTACCAAAACTGTTGTCCAGAGGGCTGAGGAAGGGTTGTTGAGGTGGTTCGGACATGTAGAGAGAATGGAGCGAAACAGAATGACTTCAAGAGTGTATCAGTCTGTAGTGGAAGGAAGGCGGGGTAGGGTCGGCCTAGGAAGGGTTGGAGGGAGGGGTAAAGGAGGTTTTGTGTGCGAGGGGCTTGGACTTCCAGCAGGCATGCGTGAGCGTGTTTGATAGGAGTGAATGGAGACAAATGGTTTTTAATACTTGACGTGCTGTTGGAGTGTGAGCAAAGTAACATTTATGAAGGGATTCAGGGAAACCGGCAGGCCGGACTTGAGTCCTGGAGATGGGAAGTACAGTGCCTGCACTCTGAAGGAGGGGTGTTAATGTTGCAGTTTAAAAACTGTAGTGTAAAGCACCCTTCTGGCAAGACAGTGATGGAGTGAATGATGGTGAAAGTTTTTCTTTTTCGGGCCACCCTGCCTTGGTGGGAATCGGCCGGTGTGATAATAAAATAAAATAATAAAATATATATTATTTATATTTGTATATATGTATGCATGTGTATATATGTATGTATTTGTGTATTTGTATGTATGTGTATATATGTATGTATGTATATGTATATATGAATGTATGTATGTGTATATATGTATGTATGTATGTGTATATAAGTATTTGTTTATATGTACATACTGTATGTGTATTCTTGACATATTTGTTATGTCAAGTATTTTTTCCACCAAAGTCTTCCTAACATTACATCTGACAAAACAACTTAGAGAACATTTTAATTGTGTATTCATTGTGGTTTCCTGTACATACAGTGTAACAATGAAGATATATAATATATAAATAATTGTAAATTTTTTTCAGGTACAATAGTTGTGAAAAATAGTGAGAGTAGTAATGTTTAACTTAGTACATGCTGGAAGAAAAACCAGGAGGCAGGACTATAGAAAGATGCTTGCATTATGGCTGGGTGATGCTCATCATCCCAAAATAATTTTTAGGGTAATTCTAGTGCTACTCAGGACTACCGGAATAGGTTATTTTAGTGTCATTCAGGGTTACTTCAGATATTATGTATCAGATGTGTTATGATATGCTCTCTCACTTGACCACCTTACATTGGAGACAATTGTGCCACCACTGAAAAGTGTCCATTATTTGCATAGTTTCCAAAATATGAATTACTTACAAAAACATAGATATCTAGAATCTGTATACCCGTCAAATAGTAGCGTATATTTTGGGAACTACTCAGGTAATTGGGCGCTTTTAGGTGGTCGTACAGTTACCCCTCACATGGAATAATTGCCCCATTATACGGTATGTTCATGAGAGATTTAGCTCCATCTCAGTCCCTGAAAGAAGTCAAGTATCTCACCCAGGGGCTACTATGCCTTGCCCTCCTATGACAGATGAAGGAATCAGGAAAGTGACAAGTGAATTTTTTTTTTATTTTTATTTTAGCTTGTATCTGTGCAGGAGAATTGAGGTGATGGGGAGGGTTCAGTAAATGTTGGATTAAAGGATAAAATGTGATGTTCTAGCGAGCGTGACCTGGCCTCCTTACCCTAGTAGCAGGGGTGATGTGGCGTGTGCGTCTTTTCCATTCCCTCAGCTATACGTCCAATTGAGGTTGAGCCCCCCCCTGCAAGTAAGCTGTCAACGCCTCGGCCCACTGATGTCAGTCTGCCATGCTCAGCGGGTGATAACATAATGGCTGACCCCCAGGACTGTGACTACTACCTGATCTGCCTCCATGGCACCTGGCAGCGTGTGCAGTGTCCTCCGGGTACTTCATGGAGCAAGGTCAGTATTTGTACAGTATCTTTTTTGCCAATTACCCATACACATTATATGTACTGCTCTTTGAAGGTCACCATTATATACATGGCTCATTTCCAAACCACAGAACAGGCAGGGATGAACCCATGGCAAGTGAGTCCTGAAACTCCAGGCCAGTGCATAAGCCACTCTGGTTCAATCCTCTCCCATTCTGTGGTTTGTTTGCAATTGTGTTCTTACAATTTTGTAGCTCATTTCCAAGTAAAGGGTTACACTTCAAATTTAATTGGCACATTCTTCTGCCCACAACAGGAGAATAATAATTGTGATTGGAAAACAAATGTCAAGTGCACAAAGAGACCCAGACCCCCTCCTACGACCGGTCATCAGTGGCCTAAGCCAGAAACCGCCACAAAACCACAAGCTCACCCAGGATTCCCAGGGCAGGAGCCCCCAGCACCACCTGAGAACCCAGAACCCCCACCCGAGGATCCTCATATGCCCAGTCATGTTGGCTTGGAACCTGTAGGAAGCAGTGGAGGGCTTTCAGGTGAGCTGTTTTAATTTTTTTACTTACTGACTGGGTACATACCACTATTCCTTTGGTGTATACACGTATACTTTATACACTTAGTATTTTTTTTTACATTGGTGTACTATATACCAGTGGCATGTCAAGAAAAAATTGTTAGGCTAAGCAAGTAACACTGTTAAACAGGTTTTTAAGTATGAACATTAAATATTTGTTATTATTTATTCATTTAACAAATAAAATAGTAAATAGTAATTTTTTTAACACATCGGCCATTTCCCACCCAGCAGGGTGATCCAAAAAGAAAGAAAAAACTTTCATCATCATTCAACACTTTCACCATCACTCGTACATAATCACTCTCTTTGCAGAGGCGCTCAGATACGACAGTTTAGATGTCCCTCCAAACTGACAATATCCCAAACCCCTCCTTTAACTTGTCATTTAAAAAAAAATATCATTCACTGGAATTATGCCTGACTTCAAAGCAAAATGATTATTACTTGCTGTAAAAGTAATGATAACTTTAACTTGCTCTGAATATTTTCTGCTAATTTTCTCAGCTCATAGAAGGGAAAAGGTTTGCAATTTTTCTCAGACTTGAGAATTTCTAGTGAAAGTTAAAAGCAGAGAATCTGCACACCACATAATGATGTCGTTGCAGGAACCATTAAAATTTATTCACAATTTTGGGGCCCAGTCCCTGGACCCATTATGTACCTCTGTAATGTTTTTGACTACCACCCACAAGATGGGTATGGGGTGCATTATAAAGATATTAAACTTGAAACTTTCACCATAAGCCTTTTATGAGTCAATCACCTTAACCCCTTCAGGGTCCAAGGTCAAAATCTGAAGTGGTGCCCCAGTGTCAGAATTTAAAAAAAAAAAAATTTGTTATTTTTTCTTATGAAATGGTAGAGAATCTTTTTGTGAAGGTAATAAAACAAAAAGTACAAAATTTGATGGAAAATTGACGAAATTATGCTCTTGCGAATTTTGATGTGTCAGCGATATTTACGAATCGGCGATTTTGCCGACTTTGACTCCCATTTTAGGCCAATTACATTATTCCCATCGACCAAATTCTTAGCTATTTCACTAGTATTACTTCTATTCTATTGATTGAGCACAAGAAATCGACAAGTCAACTGTTTCAACTTCAAAATAAAGTGACCGGAAATTGGTAATTTGGCCAATTAAACACAAAGTTCAAAATATTCCAATTTCAAAATAGGGTCCAGTATAAACAATGTAGGCATTCCTGGCACTAAACTAACATTTCCTCTGTTCATTAGTTACGTTTTGAGGCATTACAAATAAATTCCATTTTGATTTTTTATTCACATAATGAATTTTTATTCACACCAAAAAATAGAAGATTTACTGTTATACAATATTGTAATAATTGTATAAATATCATCACCACATTTGTGAATGTATATTAGATCCACCAGCTGACGTGTATTAGACGTATGAGATCATATGTTTACTCTTGAACACTGGCAAAAATTTAACATTTCTGCTACTTTGAGCTCAGTTTCAAGCCATTTCCAGTGCTAAAACCAATCAAAATCATCTCTATTACTGTAATATGTCTTCCATTCTATCAAATGAGATCACGAAATCACAAATACAACTATAAAAAACATACGAAAAACACTACAAAGTCACTGTTTTAATCGAAAATCATGGTCTCAGTTTTTTTTTTCTCTCATTATACACAGTGTGCTGCAGGATTTGTTTTATGTGGTGCACACATGCCACATAGATGTATTCTCTCATATCTAGGCCCAAATGTACCACTCATAGTTTATCAGAGTGAGCTGAGCTCATGACGTAGATCTACGGTTTGGACCCTGAACTTAAAGCCGTAGATCACGGGACGGACCCTGAAAGGGTTAATTAAACTCAAAATATCTGTCGTGTAAACAACTCTAAGTTTGGTTTCAGTGACAAAAATTCAAGAAACTTCACACAAATAACCTGCACATAGGAGAATATGCGAATTATTTATGTATTGTTTCAGTCACAGTATTGTGCCATTTTATTCTAAGAAACTTTGATAATTGCACATCAGTTACTGAAAAGCAAGTGAGAAAAGTACTGTGTTTGTAGGGAAACCTTTAATAAAACTTTTCATCCTTGACTGGAATTTATGGATATGTACAAAAATACACATATACATGGTCCTATAAGTCAGTTGAGCATCCTAAGTTTAGGACCAAGAAAAGTCAAAAGAAGGGTTGCAAGTGAGATTTGCCTTACAAGACTATGTAGCTTTGTGATTTTATATACATGATATTATGAACTTCATAATATATTTCCCAGCAAGCATAGTGTCATTCTCACTACCAGTTTACCTGGAGTTTACCTAGAGAGAGTTCCGGGGGTCAACGCCCCCGCGGCCCGGTCTGTGACCAGGCCTCCTGGTGGATCAGAGCCTGATCAACCAGGCTGTTATTGCTGGTTGCATGCAAACCAACGTACGAGCCACAGCCCGGCTGATCAGGAACCGACTTTAGGTGCTTGTCCAGTGCCAGCTTGAAGACTGCCAGGGGTCTGTTGGTAATCCCCCTTATGTATGCTGGGAGGCAGTTGAACAGTCTCGGGCCCCTGACACTTATTGTATGGTCTCTTAACGTGCTAGTGACACCCCTGCTTTTCATTGGGGGATGTTGCATCATCTGCCAAGTCTTTTGCTTTCGTAGTGAGTGATTTTCGTGTGCAAGTTCGGTACTAGTCCCTCTAGGATTTTCCAGGTGTATATAATCATGTATCTCTCCCGCCTGCGTTCCAGGGAATACAGGTTCAGGAACCTCAAGCGCTCCCAGTAATTGAGGTGTTTTATCTCCGTTATGCGTGCCGTGAAGGTTCTCTGTACATTTTCTAGGTCAGCAATTTCACCTGCCTTGAAAGGTGCTGTTAGTGTGCAGCAATATTCCAGCCTAGATAGAACAAGTGACCTGAAGAGTGTCATCATGGGCTTGGCATCCCTAGTTTTGAAGTTTCCTATTATCCATCCTGTCATTTTTCTAGCAGATGCGATTGATACAATGTTATGGTCCTTGAAGGTGAGATCCTCCGACATGATCACTCCCAGGTCTTTGACGTTGGTGTTTCGCTCTATTTTGTGGCCAGAATTTGTTTTGTACTCTGATGAAGATTTAATTTCCTCGTGTTTACCATATCTGAGTAATTGAAATTTCTCATCGTTGAACTTCATATTGTTTTCTGCAGCCCACTGAAAGATTTGGTTGATGTCCGCCTGGAGCCTTGCAGTGTCTGCAATGGAAGACACTGTCATGCAGATTCGGGTGTCATCTGCAAAGAAAGACACAGCGCTGTGGCTGACATCCTTGTCTATGTCAGATATGAGGATGAGGAACAAGATGAGAGCGAGTACTGTGCCTTGTGGAACAGAGCTTTTCACTGTAGCTGCCTCGGACTTTACTCTGTTGACTACTACTCTCTGTGTTCTGTTAGTGAGGAAATATAGATCCATCGACCGACTTTTCCTGTTATTCCTTTAGCACGCATTTTGTGCGCTATTACGCCATGGTCACACTTGTCGAAGGCTTTTGCAAAGTCTGTATATATTACATCTGCATTCTTTTTGTCTTCTAGTGCATCTAGGACCTTGTCGTAGTGATCCAATAGTTGAGACAGACAGGAGCGACCTGTTCTAAACCCATGTTGCCCTGGGTTGTGTAACTGATGGGTTTCTAGATGGGTGGTGATCTTGCTTCTTAGGACCCTTTCAAAGATTTTTATGATATGGGATGTTAGTGCTATCAGTCTGTAGTTCTTTGCTGTTGCTTTACTGCCCCCTTTGTGGAGTGGGGCTATGTCTGTTGTTTTTAGTAACTGTGGGACAACCCCCATGTCTATGCTCCCTCTCCATAGGATGGTAAAGGCTCATGATAGGGGCTTCTTGCAGTTCTTGATGAACACGGAGTTCCATGAGTCTGGCCCTGGGGCAGAGTGCATGGGCATGTCATTTATCGCCTGTTCGAAGTCATTTGGCGTCAGGATAACATCAGATAGGCTTGTGTTAACCAAATTCTGTGGATCTCTCATAAAAAATTCATTTTGATCTTCGACTCTCAGTCTGGTTAGCGGCTTGCTAAAAACTGAGTCATATTGGGACTTGAGTAGCTCACTTATTTCCTTGCTGTCATCTGTGTAGGACCCATCTTGTTTAAGTAGGGGCCCAATACTGGACGTTGTTCTCGACTTTGATTTGGCATAAGAGAAGAAATACTTTGGGTTCCTTTCGATTTCATTTATGGCTTTTAGTTCTTCCCGTGATTCCTGACTCCTATCAGATTCCTTTAGCTTAAGTTCAATGTTTGCTATTTCTCTGACCAGTGTCTCCCTACGCATTTCAGATATATTGACCTCTTTTAGCTGCTCTGTTATTCTTTTCCGTCGCCTGTAAAGGGAGCGCCTGTCTCTTTCTATTTTACATCTACTCCTCCTTTTTCTTAGAGGAATAAGCCTTGTGCGTACGTCGAGTGCCACCAAGTTAATCTGTTCTAGGCATAAGTTGGGGTCTGTGTTGCTTAGTATATCTTCCCAGCTTATATCGGTTAGGACTTGGTTTACTTGGTCCCACTTTATGTTTTTGTTATTGAAGTTGAATTTGGTGAATGCTCCCTTGTGACTAATCTCATTATGTCGGTCTGGGGCTCCGCGCATACATGTCTGAACCTCAATTATGTTGTGATCTGAGTATATTGTTTTTGATATGGTGACATTTCTTATCAGATCATCATTGTTAGTGAAGATGAGGTCAACTTATACCATCATTTACCCACTGAAAAAATAGGCTCTGGAAATTCCTTTCTGAACCTACAAAATGATGAAGAATGTACAAGTACAAAGAATCTTAATGAGTTCATATTTGCAAATCTGTTATTAATCTGGTTAAATATATATCACTTTTGATACCAAACCATAAAAATCAATGAGATTTTAGCTAACTATTGAGCCCTCTCCTTTTTTTTTCCCAGGTGACTACAAAGTGGTGTGCTACTTCACCAACTGGGCATGGTACAGGCCTGGCATTGGCAAATATAGGCCAGAGGACATTGATCCCACTTTGTGCACCCATATTGTGTATGGGTTCGCTGTCCTCGATTACTCCAACCTAGTCATCAAGCCGCACGATACCTGGGCTGACTTCGATAACCGTGAGTTCACTTATGGAAGTGGTGGTTGTAATAGGTGGTGATGCAAGAGGATGAGGAGGAAGTCAAAATAGGAGAAAGGAAAGGAGGTAAAACAAGAGAAATAGAGAGAATTAAAGCAGATGAAAGGGGAGATAATCTAAACAAAAGGGAGGTCATAGCAGAATAAAATGAGAGTCAAAGCAAAAGAAAGCAGGAAAAACAAGGGGATAGATTCCAAGTAAAGGAAAGAGAGAGTCGGAATATGAATAGGAGAGAGTCAGGGCAAAAGAGAGAGAAAAGAACAACAATACAGTGGACCCCCGGTTTACGATCAGCTCCCAATGCGACCAATTATGTAAGTGTATTTATGTAAGTGCATTTGTACGTGTATGTTTGGGGGTCTGAAATGGACTAATCTAATTCACAATATTCCTTATGGGAACAAATTTGTTCAGTAATGGCACCTGAACATACTTCTGGAATGAAATAATATCGTAAACCGGGGGTCCACTGTATAGTTGAACACCATAATTCTGGAAGGTAAAGTTCCTAGACTTTGTTTAGTATCTAATACAAAATTTCATATATCTAAATTATTGAAATTTCTCCTACTTTATATTTCACATATCTTCTTTCAACACACCGACCATATCCCACTGAGGCAAGGTGGCCCAAAAGGAACAACAAAAGTTTCTCCTTTTACATTTAGTAAAATATACAGGAGAAGGGGTTACTAGCCCCTTGCTCCTGGCATTGTAGTCACCTCTTATGACACGCATGGCTTATGGAGGAAGAATTCTGTTTCACTTCCCCATGGAGATAAGAGGAAATAAACAAGAACTAGTAAGAAAAATAGAAGAAAACCCAGAGGGGTGTATATATATATGCCTGTATAAGCATGTGTAGTGTGACCTAAGTGTAAGTATTAGTAGCAATATGTACCTGAGATCTTGCATGTTTTTGAGATAGAAAAAAGACACCAGCAATCCTACCATCATGTAAAACAATTACAGACTTTCATTTCACACTCACTTGGCAGGACGGTAGTACCTCCCTGGGCGGTTGCTGTCTACCAACCTACTACCTAGGATTTCACATATACAGTACAATAATCTTTCCAAAAACTCCATTTTCTTGTCATATTTACTTTAATCTTTACATAAAGAATGACAGGAAAAAAAAACAGATATGGGCTGGAAAAATAAAATGAGCAAATTTTGAATGAAATTTATGGTTTATTTTCAGTTTAATGGTCATTTGCGAAGCAAAATGAGACTGGGCATTGTGAAAAAACTTATGAATAGTTCAAGTACAGTACTGTAATCCACAAAATTACCTTCACTTAAAATCTTGTACAGCATGTACAGTGTAATCATATTATGAAGATTATGAATTCTGGGGTTCAACTGTATAGGAAAACCTTTTTTTCTACTGTAAAACTTTTTTCCATGACTCTAATAATAATATTAATAAAAACATTGATATTAAGATGTTTACTGCATGTTCTACCTTGGTATTACTGTGTTTACCTCCTGCTTGTTTAGTATTTATTTATGATTACTACATGTTTTAACCTGAAGTGTAGCTCTTGTATTTGTTGTGTTTCTTATGCTTGCTACATATTTTGTTTACCTTGTATTCAACTCCTGCCTCTCTTGAAATTATTTTGCTGCATATTTATACCGTGAGTTTACTTTTATCACATGTTTTCACCTTAAATTAACTCATGTTTACCTTGTGTTTACCTCGAGTCTACCCTGTATTCAGTACGTGTCTTTACTTGTGGCAGAGTTCTACCAGAAGGTGACTGACCTGAGGAAGAGAGGTATTAAGGTAACCCTTGCTATTGGTGGCTGGAATGACTCTGCAGGTGACAAGTACAGCCGTCTGGTGAACAAGCCAGCGGCCCGCCGCAAGTTTATTGACCATGTCATTCATTTCATCAAAAAGCACAACTTCGATGGTCTTGATCTGGACTGGGAGTACCCAGTGTGCTGGCAGGTGAGAGAGAGAGAGTAGAAGGGAAGGTGGCGGAGATTTAGGGATGGAGGGAAAAAGAGAGAAGAAAGGGAGAGTGAAGAAGAACAAGAGGAGGGGAAGGAAGGAGAGCAGAGAAATGAATAAAGGGAGGGAGAAGAGAAGGAAAGGAGGCAGAGATTTAGGGATGGAGGGAAAAAGAGAGAAGGAAGCAAAGAATGACAGAAGGAAGGAGAGGAAGATGAGAGAAATGAGAGGAGGGAGGGAGAGGGGAAGGGAAGGGTGGAAAAGAGAAGAGAAGAAATGGTGGCAGAGATCTAAGGCTGGAAGAAAAAAGGAGAGAGGAAAGAGGGAGCAAAGAATAACAAGAGGAAGGGAAGAGAGGAAGGAGAGGAGAGAAATTAAAGGAGGGAAGGAGAAGGGAAAGGAAGGAGGGGAGGGAGAAGAGAAAGGAAGAAGGGAGGTATATGGAGAATAGAATACAATTTGCTGATACACTGTTAAGTCTGTGACATTTCAGCCAAAACATGGGAATCATTCTCAGTTAATGAAACTGATTTAGTGGCTTTATTTTTTATTCCCTTTGCATAAAATAAGTGAGGTAAACATATTTAGATATTTCATACAGTAATAAAAATACAGTACATAGCTATAGTACAATAATTTGAAAGCCCATGTACAAAGCATTTTGGGCAGACTTAGGCTACGACTGTTACTACTTAAAACTAAGAGACTACATAATAATATTAATTTTTTTTGTTGTTGATTTTTTGTTTTTGTTTTAACAAGTTGGCTGTCTCCCACTGGGACATGATACATGTTTGTACAAAGAAATATAATAGTTGGGTGTACATGCCAAAAGCCCTTGTATATACAAAACATTTTGAGCAAACTTAAAGTTAATTAACATAGCTGTGAAGTTGTCATACTTTTGTTTTTAGTACATGATACTATATAAAAGTTTTTAAATTTTAGAAATGGATTGGAACTCTTGTTGGTGTCATGAGAGACACAACTCTCACCACTTGGCTAAGTGAGTTAGCATCAGTACAAAGCACAGTGTTGACAGGAAGTTAAAAATAACATTTAAGGTGCAAATTACAAGATTATTCACTAAAAATTAAAAACTGTATTTGATAAGTTGAAAGAGGTTGAATTGTAGTTTATGAAACTGCAATAAAAGATTACTTTATTTCTACAAGTACATGTACAAAGTATACAGGCCTAGCTGACATCGAAGACATACGTACTACTATATAGAAAGTCCCTTGTTATGCAGAGCATTTTGGGCAAATTAGGTCAATTTTTTTCCCAGGATGCGACCCACACCACTTGATTAACACCCAGGTTACCTGTTTTACTAATAGGTGAACATGACCAGCAGATGTCTTAAGGAAACATGTCCTTATGTTTCCACCCTTACTGGGGATTGATCCCCAGACCTCAGTGTGTGAGCTGAGGTTGTTACCAATGGAGTACACAATACAATACAGGTCTATTCCAACATGATACATTGTTTACACAGAAATTGGTGATACTTCAGAGCGTGTTGAAAGCCCATGGTAATGGAAAGCATTTTGGGCAAGCTAAAGCTTGTCCAAAAAGTAGATAATATTGGACAAGTATGTTAAATAGTTGTATTTCAGGTTGACTGTAACAAGGGTCCAGCATCAGACAAGGAAGCCTTTGCTATGTGGGTAAAGGAGTTGAGCCAAGCTTTCAAGCCCCATGGCCTCCTCCTGTCTGCTGCTGTCTCTCCCAGCAAAAAGGTCATTGATGCAGGTAAGCAAGTTGTTCTTGAAACAGATTGTTTAATTCCATGACTTAACCCTTTCAGGGTCGGGACCTCCCTAATCTGAGAATTGCTCTCAGGGTCAAAGAATTTTATTTTCCCCATAAAAAAAATTCTTATGAAATGATAGAGAATTTTTTCCTAAGGTAATGAAACCAAAAGTACAAATTTTGATGGAAAACCTCAGAATTACACTCTCCCAAAGTTACTGGTCTTGGTTATATCTGATATATTAGAAGATGAAGAAAGAATATCAACATTTTCTGGTTTTGTCGTAAGAATAAGGTTTCACTTGTGATTACAAGAAGACAACATAATATGTGCAGTACAGATGCTCCTCACTTTACGATGGTTCAACTTATGATGGTGCGATAGCGATGCATATATAGTAGTATTAAACTTTGAATTTTAATATGTTCCTGGGCTAGTGTGAGTACCTGTACAGCACATCACTACATGTTCTGTACCTGTATCATCCTTGGGTAATCAGGTTAATGTACAAACACTCCTCACTTAACAGCCTACCTGTTGAATGACCACGCAGACTTATGACCAGCTCTCTGACCAGTCGGTATGGTATATTAGAGCTGATTTTCTCTATTCACTTTATTACAGTATACAGTACACTACTGCATAAACATTTTTTTTTTTTTTTTTTTTTTTAACAAGTCGGCCATCTCCCACCGAGGCAGGGTGACCCAAAAAGAAAGAAAATCCCCTAAAAGAAAATACGTACTTTCATCATCATTCAACACTTTCACCTCACTCACACATAATCACTGTTTTTGCAGAGGTGCTCAGAATACAACAGTTTAGAAGGTTTTTTTTGTTTTTTTTTAACAAGTCAGCCGTCTCCCACCGAGGCAGGGTGACCCAAAAAAGAAACAAAATCCCCAAAAAGAAAATACTTTCATCATCATTCAACACTTTCACCACACTCACACATTATCACTGTTTTTGCAAAGGTGCTCAGAATACAACAGTTTAGAAGTACTGTATATACGTATAAAAATACACTATATATCCCTCCAAATTGCCAATATCCCAAACCCCTCCTTTAGAGTGCAGGCATTGTACTTCCCATTTCCAGGACTCAAGTCCGGCTATAATAAAAATAACCGGTTTCCCTGAATCTCTTCACTAAATATTACCCTGCTTACACTCCAACAGATCATCAGGTCCCAAATATCATTCGTCTCCATTCACTCCTATTGAACATGCTCATGCACGCCTGCTGGAAGTCCAAGCATCTCGCCCACAAAACCTCCCTTACCCCTTCCTTCCAACCTTTTCGAGGACGACCCCTACCCCGCCTTCCTTCCCCTACAGATTTATACACTTTCCATGTCATTCTACTTTGATCCATTCTCTCTAAATGACGAAACCACCTCAACAATCCCTCTTCAGCTCTCTGACTAATACTTTTATTAACTTCACACCTTTTCCTAATTTCCACACTCCAAATTTTCTGCATAATATTTACACCACACATTGCCCTTAGACAGGACATTTCCACTGCCTCCAACCGCCTCCTCGCTGCTGCATTCACAACCCAAGCTTCACATCCATATAAGAGTGTTGGTACTAATATACTTTCATACATTCCCTTCTTTGCCTCCGTAGATAATGTATTTTTGTCTCCACATATACCTAAATGCACCACTCACCTTTTTTCCCTCATCAATTCTATGATTAACCTCATCCTTCATATATCCATCTGCCAGCACATCAACTCCCAAGTATCTGAAAACATTCACTTCTTCCATACTCCTCCCCAATTTGATATCCAATTTTTCTTTATCTAAATCATTTGATACCCTCATCACCTTACTCTTTTCTATGTTCACTTTCAACTTTCTACCTTTACACACACTCCCAAACTCATCCACTAACCTTTGCAATTTTTCTTTAGAATCTCCCATAAGCACAATATCATCAGCAAAAAGCAACTGTGTCAATTCCCATTTTGTATTTGATTCCCCATAATTTAATCCCACCCCTCTCCTGAACACCTAGCATTTACTTCTTTTAAAACCCCATCTATAAAAATATTAAACAACCATGGTGACATTACACATCCCTGTCTAAGACCTACTTTTACCGGGAAGTATTCTCCCTCTCTTCTACACACCCTAACCTGAGCCTCACTATCCTCATAAAAACTCTTTACTTAAAATTTTATAAATGGTGCAAAGGTAACATTAATAAAATATCTAAAGATGGTTCACCTGTACATTATGCATGAAATATCAGTAAGGGGTGGCTCCTCACTTATCGACCAATTCACTTAACGACCTAGTTGTAGGAACTGAACTTGGTCATTAATTATTATAATCAAGGGGGAAGCGCTAAACCCGTAGGATTATACAGCGCCCAGGGGGGGGATGTGGAAGGCATTCAGGCTTAACTCGGGGAACTGGAGCACAGATTCAATTCCCTAAATCAAGAGCCCCTCACCAACATCAAGGAACCTTCCATGAGAGGACTTGGTCATTAAGTGAGGAGTGCCTGTACTCTGTAAAACTTTTTTGTGTGTGTACTGTACACTACTGTTCATTTATTGATAGGATAAACTTTTATTCATTTATTTATTTTTCAATACTGATATTCAGTTAGTTACAGTAATTACCTGGAGTTTACCTGGAGAGAGTTCCGGGGGTCAATGCCCCCGCGGCCCGGTCTGTGACCAGGCCTCCTAGTGGATCAGAGCCTGATCAACCAGGCTGTTACTGCTGGCTGCACGCAAACCAACATATGAGCCACAGCCCGGCTGGTCAGGAACCGACTTTAGGTGCTTGTCCAGTGCCAGCTTGAAGACTGCCAGGGGTCTGTTGGTAATCCCCCTTATGTATGCTGGGAGGCAGTTGAACAGTCTCGGGCCCCTGACACTTATTGTATGGTCTCTTAACGTGCTAGTGACACCCCTGCTTTTCATTGGGGGGATGTTGCATCGTCTGCCAAGTCTTTTGCTTTCGTAGTGAGTGATTTTCGTGTGCAAGTTCGGTACTAGTCCCTCTAGGATTTTCCAGGTGTATATAATCATGTATCTCTCCTGCCTGCGTTCCAGGGAATACAGGTTTAGGAACCTCAAGCGCTCCCAGTAATTGAGGTGTTTATGCAGTTGATAATATTTATTTATTTATTTATTTATTAATTTGAACAAGATACAGTGAAGTACAAAAGAATACAGTAAAATGCAGCATGCCAAAGCCACTTGAATGCATAGCATTATGGGCAGGCTTAAAATTAACTTAAGATTAACTAAGCAATGATATATGTATTCAGTGGTACAAAAATTATTGTAAAACAGATAACAATTTAGTACAAATGAGTATTACAAAGACAGGTCATATGGTCATTTACTGTGTTGCTGTGTAATCAGTAGAATGGAGTATTCTGTTAGGTAATGAAGTTAAATAGTAACAAAGTTTGACTGGGTCACAGGCTGGCATTTATGAGATACAATAATGAGACATATATGAGATACAATTATTCAGTATTTATTTAGTTGTGGGTGAGTAAGTGATTTTTGAGAAGAGACTTGAATTTATAAACAGACAGTGTTTCTTTTATATTCACAGGTAATGAATTCCAGATTTTAGGGCCTTTTATGTGCATGAGTTTTTGCATAGCGTGCGATGGACACGAGGAACATCAAAGAGTGATCCATGTCTTGTGTTATGGTCATGTGTTCTGTTGAGGTTGGTAAGGAGATGTTTGAGGGGAGGGTTTATGTCAGAGTTAAGTGTTCTATGTATGTAGTAGGTGCAGTAATAAGTATGGATGTTTTGTATTGTGAGTAGGTTTAGAGTTTTGAATATTGGTGGAGTGTGCTGTCTGTAGTGGGAATTTGTTATCATTCTGACTGCAGCCTTTTGTTGGGTGATTAGTGGTCTGAGATGGTTTATTGTTTTTGAGCCCCATGGACAAATTCCATAGGTGAGATAGGGGTAAATAAGTGAGTGATATAGGGCCAGGAGAGCTGACTGTGGAACATAGTACCGTATCTTCGATAGTATGCCTACGGTCTTGGAAATTTTTTTAGAAATTTGTTGTATATGTGATTGAAATTTGAGTCTTTTATCAAGGTGGATTCCTAGGAATTTTCCCTCTGTGAGTTTTGTGATAGGTGATCCATTTATCATTATGTTAAGAGACACATCTGCAGCTCTGTTACCAAACTGAATGTAGTAGGTTTTGTCAATGTTTAGAGAAAGTTTGTTGGTCCTCATCCAGGTTGATATTTTCTGTAATTCGGTATTTACAGTATTGGCTAGCATGACTGGGCTCGGGTGAGAGTAGACGTATGTAGTGTCATCTGCAAATAGTGTGGGTTTGAGTAGTTGCGATGCATTTGGTAGGTCATTTATGTATATGAGAAAGAGAAGAGGGCCTAGGACACTTCCCTGTGGGACTGGTCACAGACCGGGCCGTGGGGGCGTTGACCCCCGGAACTCTCTCCAGGTAAACTCCAGGTAAACACCAACTGTAATTGGCTGTGCTGAAGAGTTTGCCCCATTTGTGTACACATATTGGCTTCTGTTGCTGAGGTATGACTTTAGGTAGTGCGACAATTTTGTGTAAATTATCAATTACATGTATCTGATAATCCAGTGATCACCAGTCCTGGGTTTGATCACCACATGGTCCACAAGCAGTTAAAAAAATGCCAGTGTTCTAATCCATTACCAATTATCCCAGAACAATGAAAACAGATTTCTCATCCATAAAGACGATTACAATAATGGACTTGAATAAAGAAAAACAGCCAATTTCCTCATAATTTGTTAATTTTTTTTATCATGTTTATTAATACATCTGATTTTTAATACGTAGTGTTTTTGTGTATGTTTGGTAGGTTCATATTTTTTATAGTGGAAATTATTCAAAAAATGTGGACTTTTTTTTATAATTGTTGCTTTGTTTAAATTTAGTGCAAAACTCCCAAGTTGAATATTAACCCTATAGGATTTCATTTAAAATGTGTCATTGGCTTTCCCACTCTCAATTCTGTTTTCTTTCTATAGTCTTTTGATGATCTACTTATTACATTCACAGATCGCTAATTCTATTGAGAGTTATACAGTACCTGGGGGGTGGAATGTAATCAGGTTTGATCCAAGAAAGGGGATAATATCTTCAATTATTTGAGTGAAAAATCTCTTCTCCAGTATCAGGGAGCATATTGGAGTGTTATCTTGAGGTCAAGCTGGTATTTCTGAGTCTGTAATCTAATACCATAATCACTTGTCACAGGCTACGATGTGCCAACTCTAAACCAGTATATGGACTGGATTGCCGTCATGACCTATGACTTCCATGGCCACTGGGACAAGAAAACTGGCCATGTTGCTCCAATGTACCACCACCCTGAAGACGATTACGACTACTTCAACATGGTAAGTGGGTGTGGCAGAGAGAAGTAGGGAGAACAGAGTAGTGTAGGTTTGGGTCAGGTGTGTTGCAGTCTTGTTCAAGAGGAGTCACTGGCTGAATAAACCTGGAGACCTGGAGTTTACCTGGAGAGGGTTTCAGGGGTCAACATCCCTGCAGCTCAGTCTGAAACCAGGCCTCATGGTGGATCAGGGTCTGATCAACCAGGCTGTTACTGCTGGCCGCACGCAAACTGATGTAAGAACCACAGCCCGGTTGGTCAGGTACTGACTTTAGGTACACAAATAACCCGAGACATAAAAGGACAGTAATTCCCCTTTGTATGCTTGGAGAAAGGCAGTTGAACTTGTCATATGGTCCTCACCTAATTGTCGTGCTTCTCTTAGTGTATGTACGTTCCACCACGTACCTTTTTTTATTTAGAATGCTTTCAATCCTCTTGACATAAGGTTCTTTTGCTTATATATGGAGGGATAACTTTGGGTCTCACACAGTGATGTTTGGACTCCAATCCCTTTCAGGAATCTCTCTCCAAGTGTTTTGCTATTTATTGGGGTTCGTGTGCCTGTATTCCACAAAATTTCAAGGATCACATTGGTCCTTCTCATTCCGGCCCTCCCAGTAATTTAGGTGCCTTATCGTACTTTGTGTGCTGTGAAAGTTCTTTGTACACTCTCCAGGTCAGCAGTGTCACCAGCCTTGAAGGGAGCCGTTAGTGTACAGCAGTATTCCAACCTAAAGAGAACAAGCGATTTGAAGAGAATCATCATGGGGTTGGCATCCCTAGTTTTGAAAGTTCTCATTATCCATCCTATCATTTTCCTAGCAGATGCGGTAGATACATTGTTGTGGTCTTTGAAGGCGAGATCCTTCAACATTATCATTCCCAGGTCCTTCACATTACTTTTTTGCTGTATTGTATTGTTAGAATTTGTCATATACCTTGATACATTTTTAATTTCCTCACGTTTTCCATATCTGAGTAGTTGAAATTTCTCCTTGTTGAACTTCATATTGTTTTGAGTGGCCCATTTGAAGATTTGCTCTATGTCCGCTTAGAGTCTTGCAGTGTCTTTGATGGAGGTCACTGCCATGGCAATCCGGATGTCATCTGCAAAGGATGACATGGAGCTATGGCTTACATTTCTGTCTGTGTCAGATATGAGGATGAGGAATAGAAAGGAGGCGAATACTGTGCCTTGTGGAAAAGAGCTTATCACCGTAGCTGTCTGGGACTTTACTCTGTTTACAGTTACTCTTTGTGTTCTATTTGTCAGGAAGTTATAGATCCGTCTACCAACTTTTCCTGTTATTCCTTTGTCACATATTTTGTGCGCTATTACACCATAGTTACACTTGTTGTAAGCTTTTGCAAAGTCTGTGTATACTACATCTGTATTTTGTTTATCCTCTACAGCATCCAGGACCATGTCATAGTGGTCCAGGAAGTAGGACAGGCAGGAACAACCTGCTCTAATCCCGTGTTGCTTTGGGTTGTGTAATTGATGGGTATCTAGGTGGTTGACGACCTGTGTGAGTGTGAGCAGGGTAATATTTAGTGAAGGGATTCAGGGAAACTGGTTATTTTTATATAGCCGGACTTGAGTCCTGGAAATGGGAAGTACAGTGCCTGAACTCTAAAGGAGGGGTTCGGGATATTGGCAGTTTGGAGGGATATGTTGTGTATCTTTATATGTATATGCTTCTAAACTGTTGTATTCTGAGCACCTCTGCAAAAACAGTGATAATGTGTGAGTGTGGTGAAAGTGTTGAATGAGATGAAAGTATTTTCTTTTTGGGGATTTTCTTTCTTTTTTGGGTCACCTTGCTTCAGTGGGAGACGGCCGACTTGTTGAAAAAAAAAAAAAACATGTACATGGTATACAGGCCTAGCTGACATCAGTGGCATTCTACGATATAGAAAGCCTCTTGTTATGCAGAGCATTTCGGGCATATTAGATCAGTTTTGTCCCAGGATGTGACCCACACCAGTCGACTAACTCCCAGGTACCCATTTTATTGATGGGTGAACATAGAGAACCGGTGTAAGGAAACACTCCCATTATTTCTATCCTCGCTGGGAATTGAACCCAGACCCTCGCCATGTAAAGCGAGAGCTTCACATTTAAAAGGCAAATGCTGAATCTAAATACATGTGGAGATCTGAGTGTGTAAACCTGTGTACAAGAATACTTCCATGGTGGGCATGTGTGTGTGTACATAATTATTATTATTATTATTATTATAATTCTTCTTATTCTTTCAACACACCGGCCGTATCCCACCAAGGCAGGGTGACCCAAAAAGAAAGAAAATCCCCAAAAAGAAAATACTTTCATCATCATTCAACACTTTCACCTCACTCATACATAATCACTCTCTTTGCAGAAGCACTCAGATACGACAGTTTAGAAGTCCCTCCAAACTGCCAATATCCTAAACCCCTCCCGAACCATGGGGGATGAAGCCCCCATGGTTCTGTCACTGCCATTGATTCACATGAATCTTTTTTTTTTTTTTTTTTTTTTGCACAGGGTTTGACAAGGTTAGGTTAAGGATTCCTAACTTTATTGACAAGCTATTTACAGGTTAAGGATTCCTAACTTTATTGACAAGCTAAGAGCTGTTACCTACATCAGCTCATTTGAAAGCATTTTTATTGTTATGAGACATACAAGTAGGGAACAGAAGGAAGTTGGAGCCATCTGTGGGCCAGCATTTTCATTTGATCAATTGACTTTATCTCGTTGACATCATAATGCTGTACAAATGTGTTCCAGACTCGAGTCATCCTGGGAATAAATGATCTCAGATGAAGTGATGTTCTGGAGAAGGGTACAGCCAGAGTGAAGTTGCTGCTTTCTGCCCGTCTTGTGGTATAGAAACTTGCTTCACGCTGTCCTTGAAGTGGATCCAAGTGTGGGACTTTTACAATATTGGGCCCTTTTACATAACAGTAAGGCCACCCGCATCCCTTCTATGTTGAAGGCTCTGCTGAAGTGACAGATCTATTCAGGATGGGTCCTGGTGAGAGATGAGATGTCTTGCTCTGTTCTCTACTCTGTCAAGCAGTCACAGATGAGAAGGGGGGCAGGTGAACCAAGAAAGTGGAGCATACTCAAGGTGTGAGGCATACTTGTGCCTCGTACAAAATCTTGCAACCCCTTCCTCCCCCCCCCCCCCCCCCTCTCCTCTCTCCTCCCCCCTCCTCTCCTCCTCCTCCTCTCTCTCTCTCCTCTTCTCTCTCTCTCTCTCCTCTCTCTCTCATCCCTTCTCTCCTCTCTTCCCCCCTCTCCTCTCCTCTCATCTCTCTCTCCCTCTCTCTCTCCTCTCTCTCTCTCTCTTCTCACTCTCTCTCTCTCTCTTCCTCTCTCTCTTCTCTCTTACCTCTCTCTCTCTCTCTCTCCTCTTCCCCTCTCTCTCTCCTTCTCTCTCCTCTCTCTCTCTCTCTCTCTCTCTCTCTCTCTCTTCTCTCTCTCTCCTCTCTCTCTCTCTCTCTTCTCCTCTCTCTCCTCTCTCTTCTCTCTTCTCCTCTCTCTCATCTCTCTTCTCTCTCTCTCTCTCTCTCTCTCTCTCTCTCTCTCTCTTCATTTTTTTATTTTTTTTTTTTTTTTTTTTTTTTTTTATTTTTTTTTTTTTTTTTTTTTTTTTTTTTTTTTTTTTTTTTTTTTTTTTTTTTTACACAGGTTTGAAAAGGGTTAAAGGATCCCTAGCTTTATTGACAGCTATTTACAGTTAAGATTCCTAGCTTTATTGACAAGCTAAGAGCTGTTACCTACATCAGCTCATTTTGAAAGCATTTTTATTGTTATGAGACATACAAGTAGGAAACAGGATGAAGTTGGAGCCATCTGTGGGCCAGCATTTTCATTTGATCAACTGACTTTATCTCGTTGACATCATTATCCTGTACGAATGTGTTCCATACTCGAGTCATCCTGGGTATGTATGATCTCAGATGGAGTGATGTTCTGGAGAAGGTTACAGCCAGAGTGAAGTTGCTGCTTTCTGCCCGTCTGTGGCAAAAAAAGCTTGTTTCACGCTGTCCTCGAAGTGGATCCAAGTGTGGTATTTTGACAATATTGGCCTTGTACATAACAGTAAGGCCACCCACATCCCTATGTTGAAGGCTCTGCTGAAATGACAGATCTATCCAGGATGGGTCCAGGCGAGAGATGAGACGTCTTGCTCTGTTCTCTACTCTGTCAAGCAGTCGCAGATGAGAGGGGGGCAGGCAAACCAAGAAAGTGGAGCATACTCAAGGTGCAAGCGTACTTGTGCCTTGTACAGGATCTTGCAACCCCTACTGTCACGCAGATGCGAGATACGGCGAAGTGCTGTAAGCTTCCTGGCTGCCTTGTTTGCAAGATTTACAACATGGTTCTTCATGGTTAGTTTGGAGTCAAATTTCACCCCAAGGATATCAACTTCTTCTCCAGGTGCCAACACCCTCCCATTCATCCTTACTACTGCACCAGCATTACCATCATGGTGCCTAGAGACGATCATCATTTGCGTTTTCTCAGGTGCAAATTTACTTGCCATCTATTTCCCCAAGCTGATATAGCTCTCAGCTGGTAATTGATGTAGCTTAGAGCAGCTGGCATTTCTTCTCTTGGATAAGTGAATGTCAGTGTACAGTCGTCTGCATATGCATGTGATTCTGGGATGAGATGAAGAAGGTCGTTGAAGTAGACATTCCATAACAATGGACCCAGCACGCTTCCTTGTGGAACACTTGCCCCAATAGGATGTCTTGCTGATTCCATTCCATTGAGAACTACACTTAGAGATCTACCATGAAGGTAATCACTGAGGAGACATAGCGTAGAGCCTGCAATTCCCAGTGCTTGAAGTTTTGCTAAGAGGCCCTGGTGCCACACCCGGTCGAAAGCGCCATCAATGTCCATTGCTACCACACAGCTGACTTTGGATTCATCCAGTGACTGGTGCCACTTAGTGGAGAGGTTTAACAACAGATCAGCAGCAGAGTAACCTTTTCTGAAGCCATATTGACGATCACAAAGTAGTGAGTGGTAGTCAAAAAACTCTGTCATTTGTCTTGAGATTATTGTCTCAAGGATCTTACCAGTGATTGACAGGAGTGACACTGGTCTCTCTCTCTCTCTCTCTCTCTCTGTCTCTGTCTCTCTCTCTCTCTGTCTCTTTCTGTCTCTCTCTCTCTGTCTCTCTCTGTCTGTCTCTCTCTCTGTCTCTCTCTCTGTCTCTCTCTCTGTCTCTCTCTCTGTCTCTCTGTCTCTCTCTGTCTCTCTCTGTCTCTCTGTCTGTGTCTGTCTCTCTGTCTGTGTCTGTCTCTCTCTGTCTCTCTCTCTCTCTCTCTCTCTCTCTCTCTCTCCTCTTCTCTCCTCTCTCTCTCTCTCTCTCTTTTCATAACTTTTCTTATATAATCAACAAAGAGAGCCATAACACTGTGTTTACCTTTTCCATCTCAGGACTTCGCTATCAGGTACTGGCTGGAGAAAGGTGCTACCAAGGACAAGATTGTGCTTGGAATGCCCCTCTATGGACAGTCCTTCTCACTCAATGATCCTCAAAACACCGGCCTCAATTCCCCAGCCCGTTCTGGAGGCCAGGCTGGAGAGTTCACTAGAGCCCGTGGCTTCCTTGCCTACTACGAGGTACTTAAAAAACTTTTGGTTTCGTTTTAGTGGTAAGATTTTATTTACAGTGTAACTGTATCACAGTTTAAGGATAACTTATATAAAACCTGCTAAGGATTTTTCACATTCAGATGTCATGAGTGTATCTATATTCCCTCAGATTTGCTATCATATACAACAAGGCTGGACAGTGGTGAAGGATCCTGAGGGCAGGATGGGACCATATGCATACTCTGGCAACCAGTGGGTATCCTTCGATGATGTTGATACCATCAGGAGAAAGGTAGGACTTATTAATGTATTAAAGTCACTCTTTTACATGCATATACATACACACAGCTATATATGTATGAATGCACATTCAAGCACACAAACAAGTACAGTGGAACCTCAGTACTCGAACAGCTCCCCTACTCGAACAAAACTCGGCGCTCAACCAAACAAACATGACCTGCCAGAACTTCGCTGTATACTATTTTGTATTTCTTCACATTTTTTTGGTGTTTTTTATATTATTTGTATAAATAAGTCACCATGGGGCCTATGAAGATTAGTGATAACAGCCAGCCAAAAAGAAAATTGGTTGAGAAGAATTTGTTCAATACTTGAACAGATCGGCACTCGAACAGCTTTCTGGAATGAATTAAGTTTGAGTACCGAGGTTCCACTGTAAATAAATACACAGACAGTTTAGCAGTCAAAATATGGACATAATATAATACATATATCGAGTAGTCAGAATCTTTTGCATACATGAATTATTGTGGCCAAATTCTATTGCTAACATTATATTGTACACGGTATTGTGGAGAGTATTTTTTTCATTAATACACTCCATTGTGAGGGAGGAGTGCCTTCCACTGAGCCACTTATATGTCTCCTCTGTGTTTACAGTCGGAATACATACGCACAATGGGCCTGGCTGGTGGAATGGTGTGGGCTCTTGACCTGGATGACTTCATGAACCGTTGTGGACAAGGTGCTCACCCACTCATGAATACCATCAAGGCAGTACTTGGCCCAAGGAAATCTGATGCCCAGCCACCACAATTGCCCCCACCAGGACCCTTGCCGCCACCACAGCCAGAGACTCCAAAGCCGAGTGTGACTCCACCTACCCCAGTGACATGGCCATCAGAAACACCAAAGCCAGTTGATGGTCCAGTGATATCCCCAGTAGTGTCCATACCAGGACAAATGATCACACCTAAGCCAGAAACATCAGGGCCTATGTTCCCAGGCACTACTGGAGGTGGGTAACATTTATTTTATCATATATAGTAAAGTACTATACCCATAGGGTTAATACAGTTGAAGACTGAGAGGTTAACCAGTTTGATCCAAGAAAGGGAAAGGTAGTCGCAATTCCTTGGATCAAGAGTCTTGAAGGAAGGCATGACGAGCCCTATTCCTCTCTGCAACTTTACTGGTAATACTTTGATCTACTTTTTTACAGTTCAAGTTCACTTGTTACTTTTTCATATGCTCCTGAGTAGTATAATATAGTTATACTGTATAATATTGTAGTGTATACATTTATACTGTATAATGGTTGCAGTAAACATAATAGTTATAGCCATATATTGATTTTTTTGTGTGCAACACTATGCTTTAATTTAAACCTTGACATTTGTTGTATACACAGACATAACCTTTCATACTCTTTGTACAGGTGATGGGTACAAAGTTGTTTGTTACTTTACCAATTGGGCATGGTACCGACCTGGGGAGGGCAAGTACGTTCCTGAGGATATCGACGCATCCCTCTGCACCCACATCATCTATGGCTTCGCTGTTCTCAATAACAACAACTATCTCATCAAGGCTCATGATTCTTGGGCAGACTATGACAATAGTGAGTGATGTTGCCCAGCCACATTCTAGAGTTAGACACATCATCAGTTATTTTTAAGTCAGATGCCTTTTAATGACTCACTTTCTGTGAATCCTAACTCCAATTGGGGGTTAGAGGTTATGGCAAGTTATGTCTAAAAGCCAGCACATGTTTTAGTTATGCTTTGCTCATAAAGATTCAAAGGTGTTCTTTGCTGCAACTCCTGCTGTTAAATCCAACACCTCTGTTGTTGTATCTCCAGTTGTAGTTGTTAATTCTAAACTTAAATAAATGTTAACTACATATGCAAATAACTTCTGTCATCTTTTGTTCCTATCACCCACTACTGATTCATAGACCAGCTGTATTGTTACTTCTATTTATGAAATGTCAGCTATTCTACGACATTATTTTCTTTAGCTTGACTGTGTTTGATTAGAAATCACACACACACAGATGAGGCGCAGGAATGTAGAGAAATAATTCCTTAGTTTTAGCATAGTAGGGTAATGGAATGAGCTGAATGAGAAGGTGGTAGATTCAAATTCCATACACTGCTTAAAAATATGCAAGAAAAACATGTACGATTTGAACACGAATTTCTGCAGTAGCTTGCATTTAAATTTAATTTGAAAATACACTAATGCCACAGTTCACATCAGTGATATCCTAACATCTAAATTCTCCTTCAGAATTCTATGAACGTGTGGTAGCCCACAAATCTAAAGGAGTCAAGGTACTGGTGGCCATCGGTGGGTGGAATGATTCTGCCGGGGACAAGTACAGCCGGCTGGTGAACAACCCTGAGGCTCGCAGGAAGTTCAACCAGCATGTCATTGAGTTTATTCTGAAGCACAACTTTGATGGCCTTGATCTAGACTGGGAGTACCCTGTGTGTTGGCAGGTGAGCAAGACACAGGTTTAATATTTTCATAGGAATGTGCTAAATTTATAAGGAATGGGAGGTAATCAAGTTTGCTCTGAAAAGGAGAGTAGTTATATTCCTTGATTCAAGAGCCCTTCACCAGCATCAAGGCACCCTTCTTGATTGGATTCAGAGACATGAGCGAATAGCTACAAGTAGACATGAGTATCACAATAGAGGGTGGTCTTTGTGTGGTTACATCTGAAGACTTAACTGATATGGTGCTATTTACATAATCTGTGATTGCTCTGTTGTTCATATGAGTAGTAAGAATTATGAGGAATAATCAAGCAGACAATAAAACTTATTTTTCATAAAGAGGACATTATATCATACAAGTCCCATTCAAGCAAATGTGACACCAGTGGGGCTGAGACATGGAGACACAATGCAAATTGTAGCATGTGTCTGTGTACCAAGTAGTGCATAGACCTAATTTTGAGATGGCATTCCACCTCATTTACCAAAAACCATTAAAGTGTGACTTCATCTGAAATGACGTCTCCTCTCTATTTGGTGTTTCCAATATTTATATCATTCTCAGTAATTGTGCTGTATCCAGCCATGTAACTCTTGTAATTAATCACTTTTAATATACAACAGAGCTATCAATTCTTGTGGTTTTTTTCTTCTTGCAGGTGAACTGTGCTAAGGGTCCAGACTCAGACAAGGCGGCCTTTGCTGAATGGGTGAAGGAACTTAAAACTGCCTTCCAGCCCCATGGTCTCCTCTTGTCATCTGCTGTATCTCCTAGCAACAAAGTCATTGACAAGGGTAAGTGTGACTAATTTTTTATGCCCAAGAATACCTGTTATATATAGTACCTTATTTGCTGAGAAGAGTAAATCTTGTTCTATTTTTTTTTTTTTTTTTCAACAAGTCGGCCGTCTCCCACCGAGGCAGGGTGACCCAAAAAGAAAGAAAATCCCCAAAAAGAAAAATACTTTCATCATCATTCAACACTTTCACCTCACTCACACATAATCACTGTTTTTGCAGAGGTGCTCAGAATACAACAGTTTAGAAGTATATACGTATAAAAATACACAACATATCCCTCCAAACTGCCAATATCTCAAAACCCCTCCTTTAGAGTGCAGGCATTGTACTTCCCATTTCCAGGACTCAAGTCCGGTTATATAAAATAATCAGTTTCCCTGAATCCCTTCACTAAATATTACCCTGCTCACACTCCAATAGCTCATCAGGTCCCAAATACCATTTGTCTCCATTCACTCCTATCTGACATGCTCACGCACGCTTGCTGGAAGTCCAAACCACTCACCCACAAAGCCTCCTTTACCCCCTCCCTCCAACCTTTTCGAGGACGACCCCTACCCAGCCTTCTTTCCCCTACAGATTTATACGCTCTCCATGTCATTCTACTTTGATCCATTCTCTCTAAATGACCAAACCACCTCAACAACCCCTCTTCAGCCCTCTGACTAATACTTTTATTAACTCCACACCTTCTCCTAATTTCCACACTCCAAATTTTCTGCATAATATTTACACCACACATTGCCCTTAGACAGGACATCTCCACTGCGTCCAACTGCCTCCTCGCTGCAGCATTTAAAACCCAAGCTTCATATCCATATAAGAGTGTTGGTACTACCATACTTTCATACATTCCCTTCTTTGCCTCTACAGATAACAGTTTTTGTCTCCACATATACCTCAATGCACCACTCACCTTTTTTCCTTCATCAATTCTATGATTGACTTCATCCTTCATAAATCCATCCGCTGACACGTCAACTCCCAAATATCTGAAAACATTCACTTCTTCCATACTCCTCCTCCCCAATTTGATATCCAATTTTTCTTTATCTAAATCATTTGATACTCTCATCACCTTACTATTTTTTATTCATTAACACACTGGCCAATTCCACCATGGCAGGGTGGCCCGAAAAAGAAAAACTTTCACCATCATTCACTCCATCACTGTCTTGCCAGAAGGGTGCTTTACACTACAGTTTTTAAACTGCAACATTAACACCCCTCCTTTAGAGTGCAGGCACTGTACTTCCCCTCTCCAGGACTCAAGTCCGGCCTGCCGGTTTCCCTGAATCCCTTCATAAATGTTACTTTGCTCACACTCCAACAGCACGTCAAGTATTAAAAACCATTTGTCTCCATTCACTCCTATCAAACACGATCACGCATGCCCTCTGGAAGTCCAAGACCCTCGCACACAAAACCTCCTTTACCCCCTCCCTCCAACCTTTCCTAGGCCGACCCCTACCCCACCTTCCTTCCACTACAGACTGATACACTCTTGAAGTCATTCTGTTTCACTTCATTCTCTCTACATGTCCGAACCACCTCAACAACCCTTCCTCAGCCCTCTGGACAACAGTTTTGGTAATCCCGCACCTCCTCCTAACTTCCAAACTACGAATTCTCTGCATTATATTCACACCACACATTGCCTTCAGACATGGCATCTCCACTGCCTCCAGCCTTCTCCTCGCTGCAACATTCATCACCCATGCTTCACACCCCTATAAGAGTGTTGGTAAAACTATACTCTCATACATTCCCCTCTTTGCCTCCAAGGACAAAGTTCTTTGTCTCCACAGACTCCTAAGTGCACCACTCACCCTTTTTCCCTCATCAGTTCTATGATTCACCTGATCTTTCATAGACCCATCCGCTGACACATCCACTCCCAAATATCTGAATACATTCACCTCCTCCATACTCTCTCCCTCACCTTACTCTTTTCACAAAAATATTTCCTAATAAAATGTTAAATGTAACCCCGATTCTTTTGCGGATTATCTCTTCTGTACCATTTTACAAACTTCTTTTAATTTAAAAAATCATGAATAGGCTTTTTTTTTTTCATCATGCTGGCCATCTCCCACCAAGGCAAGATGACCCAAAAAAAAAAAAAAATAAAACTTTCACTATCATTCACACATATCACTGTCTTTGCAGAGGCATGCAAATACAACAGTTCAGATGTCCTCCAAACAGCAAACATCCCAAACCCCTCCTTTAAAATGTAGGCATTGTACTTTGCACCTGCAGGATTCAAGTCCAGCTAACCAGTTTCCCTGAATCCCTTCACAAAATATTACCCTGCTCACACTTCGACAGCTTGTCAAGTCCCAAAAACCATTCGTCTCCACACACTTCTATCTAACATGCTCACACATACCTGCTGTATGTCTAAGCCCCTTGCACACAAAACCCTTTATACCCCTTCCCTCCATCCTTTCCAAGGACAACCCCTACCCCTCTTTCCCTCCACTGCAGATTTATACACCTTCCAAGACTTAAATTTTCAAAATAACCCTTGCTTTTCAAAATCACATATTTTTTGGTCTATTTTTTTCTGTTCAATAAGGTTATTTATTACAGGTTACGATGTGCCAGTGTTGAGTCAGTATCTGGACTGGATTGCGGTGATGACATATGATTACCATGGACAGTGGGACAAGAAGACTGGCCATGTTGCTCCCATGTATGCACATCCTGAAGACGACAACCTGGCCTTCAACACTGTGAGTCCCTTTGTTCCCTCCTGCCTTATTTCATCTACTTTGCTCATCACCTGTGCAGTATGTCTTTTTGTCATCTTTTTCACACTCAGATCCTTACAAGCATACATTAATCTTAATTTTATAGTCTTGTGAATTTTCAAGTAAAAATAAAAGCTATACTGTATTAATTCTTGAACTTGGACAACTGTGGTCATTTGTGAATTCAGCTATCCAGTAGCTGTTAAATAAATAATAGTCTTTTTCAGTTAAGAATTTATTGTCATAGTTCCAAGACTGGTTTTTAAATTAAGAATTTACTCAGTCATAATACCAAGATTGATTTTTAAGTTAAGAAGTTACTGTCATAACTCAAAGACTATGGTTTCTTTTACATATGAAATCCCACTTGATTTCAACTTGTCTGTTGTCTTACAGAACTTCACTATCCACTACTGGATCGAGAAGGGGGCAGATAGGAAAAAATTGGTGTTAGGTATGCCCATGTACGGCCAGTCCTTCTCACTAGCTGAGACAGGGAACAAGGGACTCAACCAGAAGACCTATGGAGGGGGTGAGGCTGGACAGTACACACGAGCTAGAGGATTCCTCGCATATTATGAGGCAAGTTAATGTTTTTCCTGCTCTTGATACCTCTACTACTATTACTTTTGTGACTTATACCACTATCATACCATACTGTACTACTCTTGCTGGACTATGCTAAATCTATCACCACTGCCTTTGCTGATGCTAACATTTTTACTGTTAACATGACTCACAAAATCGTAATGACATGATTGCAAACAAACCATACCACGGGCGGGGATAGAACCTGCGATCAGAGAGTCTCAAAACTCCAGACCGTCACATTAGCCACTGGGCAGCTAGCCACAATAAGATTCATCCAACCTTCCTATGGTGTAGAAATATACCTAGTTGGATGAATCTTATTGTGGCTAGCTGGCCCAGTGGCTAACGCGACAGTCTGGAATTTTGAGACTCTTGATCGCGGGGTCTATCCCTGCTTATAACAATATGTTGCTGCTGCCTCATTGTTGATGTGATTTTTACTAGACTTTTATTGTTATTTCTACTGTTGTTACTTCAACTGTTGCTACTGTATTCTGTATACTACACTGTTTCTGTTACATTGTTACTGTTTGCCACTGATGCTGCTGTTACTACTAATATAAATGGTTTTGCCAGTACAGCTATTGCTAAGATAATAGTGTTTTGCTGTTTACTCCCATCCCTTGTACACCTAGTATCATGTGTCACTTGTGTTGTCTTTCACAGATCTGCTACAGAATCCTGAACCTTGGGTGGACGGTGGTAAGAGACCCAAAAGGCACCATGGGTCCCTATGCCTACAAGGGTAACCAGTGGGTCGGTTTTGATGATGTTGAAATGATCAGATACAAGGTTAGTCGACTACGTAGGTTCATTTATATATAATTAGTCCATTATAGAAGTATATGCTAGTGAAAAAGAAAGCCATGTGGTATTGTGAGTTTGTGGTTAAATCCTACTATGTATGTTGAAACCACTGTATAGATTTGGGCTAACAAAATAGTCATGTGGTATTACAAGTTTGTGTTTACAGTACAGGAGGGCCTCTCATATGCAGCACCTCTTATCAGTGTTCCACACTTTTGCTGGCTTCAAATTGAGCCATTGTTCATTATATTTTACCCACTGGTAGGTGGAACAATGGCTCAGTTGAAAGCCAACGAAAATGTGAGCACCAAAAAGAGGTGCTGTATATGAGTGGCTCTCCTGTATATTCTGATGTATTCAAATTACTGCAGAGAGGTGAGCTTTCAGCAAGTATTATGTTGTGGTGAATGTAGAATTGTGATTCCACAGAGGTTCATGTCACTTTAGAGTTGTAAGTGTAATGATACGACAGACTTTGCAGAACTAACAATATGTGATAGTTATATGATGCTCATTTTTTTTTTTTTTTTTTTTGAACTCGGCCATCTCCCACCAAGGCAGGGGTGACAAAAAGAAGAAAATGCATTCACAATCATTCATTCATTCATTAGGTGTGTTGTGTGCTGACATCACATTTCACATTACCCTACAACTGCAGCATAAGAACATAAGAATGGAGGAACACTGCAGAAGGCCTATTGGCCCATACAAGGCAGGTCCTTATCAGAACGACCTTTACCCAAAGCTACCCAAGAATTTACTCCCATACCCAATGACACCAATCAAACCCAGCCCCTCCCACTCGTATATTTGCCCAATCTCTTTTTAAAGCTACCCAAGGTCCTAGCCTCAATCACCCTACTGGGAAGATTGTTCCACCCATCCACAACTTTGTTAGAGAACCAGCACCTACCTATGTCCTTTCTAAATCTAAATTTATTCAACTTAAATCCATTATTTCTGGTTCTTACCTGGTTCGACACCCTCAGTACTTTATTAATATTTTTGTTTATGCCTGTCATCCACTTATACAATTCAGTGATATCTCCCCTCATTCTACATCTCTCCAGAGAGTGGAGATTTAAGGCTTTAAGTCTATCTTCATACGGGAGATTCCTTACACAGTAAATCACCTTAGTCATTCTCCTCTGTATGTTCTCCAATGAGTCTATATCCATCCTGTAGTAAGGAGACCAAAACTGAATGGCATAATCTAAATGAGGCCTCACTAATGATGTATAGAGCTGTAAAATAACTTTTGGACTTCTGTTACTTATACTTCTTGAGATAAATCCTAGTAATCTGTTAGCCTTGTTGCACACACTTAGGCACTGCTGTCTTCGCTTTAGATTTCTGCTTACCATGACTCCCAAGTCTTTTTCACATTCTGTATGATCAAGTTCTACTTCACGTAGTTTATAGCTTTGAGGGTTATTTTCATTACCACGGAGTAGCACCTTACACTTATCCACATTGAACTTCATCTGCCATTTTTCAGACCAAGACATTAATTTGTCCAAATCCTCTTGGAGTTCGTTGTTATCCTCCTCAGAATGAATCATACGGCCTTTCTATCATCAGCAAATTTGCTCATGTCACTCGTAATCCCTTCATCAAGGTCATTAATGTAAATTGTGAACAAGAGAGGGCCTAAAGCTGAACCTTGTGGAATGCCACTAGTGACTAATCCCCATTCAGATTTGACCCTATTGGAAACTCTCTGCTTTCTTTTAGTAAGCCATGCCTCTATCCATGCTAGAACTTTACCCCCTATACCATGAGCTGCCACTTTTCTTAAGTCTCTTGTGAGGTACTCTATCGAAGGCTTTACCAAAATCCAGATAAGCAATATCATATTCTTTATCACTGTCTACTACCTCAAATGTTCTATTGAAGAACGTCAGTAAATTTGTCAGGCAAGAACAACCTCTCGTGAACCCATGCTGAGATTCATTAATCAAATTATGCACTTCAAAGTGACTTCTAATAATGTCAGCTATAATTGATTTTAATAACTTGCCCACTATAGATGTCAGGCTTATTGGACGGTAATTTGCAGGAATGGACTTATCTCCTGATTTGAATATAGGAACCACATTAGCCATCTTCCACAACTCTGGCACAACACCAGTAAGGATGGACACATTAAACACACTTGTTAATGGCTGACTAAGTTCCATCTTGCATTCCTTAAGTATCCTGGAAAACAACTCATCATGCCCCGGGGACTTATTTTGCTTCAGTTTGTCTATCTGTTTGATAACCATGTCCCTTGTGACAGTAATATTAGTTAATTTGAATTCATCAGGAACTGAATAATCGTTAATTTCTGGAGTCTCAATTATGTCTTCCTGTGTAAAAACTGACAAAAAAATAGTCATTAAATAAGGAACACACTTCCAGTTCGTTATCCGTCATCTGTCCATTCCCAGTTTTCAGAGGTCCTACTTTTTCCTTCACCTTCGTCCTATACACTTGAAAGAAGCCCTTTGGATTGGTCTTTGATTCATTAGCAACTCTAATTTCATAGTCACATCTAGCCTTTCTAATCCCCTTTTTTACTTCTCTTTTAAGCTGAACATATTGGTCAGTAAGGTTAACCTCTCATCTTCTGATGCACCTATAAATTCTCCTTTTCTCCCCTAATAGATGCTTTAGCCTCCTGTTAACCCATTTGGGATCATTATTATTAGACCCACTTTCTCTCTGGGGAATGTATATACTCTGAGCACAGTGTACATTATTAAGAAAAAATCATAAATGCAGATCCCTTCGTAATCATAAGTATGATCATCGTTGTAAAATCATTAGCTAGATAACCCCCAACCAAGATTAGACAGGTGTTCCCCAAGTCCACTGTAATTGGCAGAACAAAAATCAGGGATTTTTACCGTATTATCATTATTCTGTATTCCCAGTTAATGCTAAAAGTGATGGATCTGTGATCATTTGCGCCAAGCTCTTCAGTAATCTCCAGATTATTTACGAGTGTTTCTTTATTTGACAAGACTAGGTTGAGCAAATTATTACCCCTGGTAGGCTCTGTTACACACTGCTTCAGAAAACAGTCCTGAACTGTTCCCATAGTCACTGGATTCCAGATTACTAGTCAAAGAAGTCCAGTCAATTTGACTAAAGTTTAAAAAATCCCCTACTATCACTACGTTATTGTCTAGAAGCCCTAAAAATTTAATCCCAGAGAAGTCTCCCTCTATCGTGATCCAAGACTGGAGGTTGGTATATTACACTTAGAATTAATTTTTCTTGCCCCTTCTACAAACTCTCCCCAAACGATTCTTTTTACTATTCCATCTATTTTATAATTGTTTTATGCAAAAATTTAATATTTTTCGAACATATAATGCAACTCCTCCCCCCTTCCTTTTAAAATTCTGCCCACTTGGAAAAACTTAAACCCTTGAATGTCACACTCAGCAATCAAAATCCAAATTCTTTTAAATCATACCACGTTTCAGTTAATGCAATGACATCAAAGTTCCTAGCACATGCTACCAAACGTAGTTCATTAATCTTTTTCTTGCATTTTGGGACTGTTACCATAAAATACCATCATATGTTTCTTCCTCTCCCACATCCCTCCCATTCACTCCCTTTTACACAATTTTCTGAAATTATCATTACCCAGCTTTACTCCAAAGACTGTTATTATTAAGATTCTTTAAAATCAAAGCCCAAGTCATTTTGTCCATTCTCATTATTTTTCATTTCTAAAACCCATACCTCTAACTAATCCTAGTTTAAAGTCTTAACAATCCCCTCAACTGAGCTAGCAAGAAACCCACACCTCACCCTTCCTTCAGAGTGCAGACACTGTGTTCTCTACATGAGAATTCTCTACATGACATTCAACCACATTTCACTCTCAACATGGCATTTTCTTCAGCCTCTAGCATTTCCCCCTCACTGCAAAATTCAAAACCCATGCCTCATGCCCATTAAAAATATCACTTACCACTATATTCTAATACATTCCCATTTTGTTCTTTCATAGATAAAATTCTTTCTTGCTAGATACCTCAACATACAACCCACTTTTTTTTCTTCAAATAGGGAAAGGCAGTATCCCCCCCTCCCTCATAGTATGGGCACTGTACTTAAAATTAATAATTAAAATGTTATATTTCTTATGAGCCATACGAAGAAGTTTGAGTAAATGTAAGCACAGAAGAAAGCCACTAATTATACATTGCATTTAGGTAAACTAATCATAAGACTTATTTTTTTTTTTTTTTTTTTTTTTCAACAAGTCGGCCGTCCTCCCACCGAGGCAGGGTGACCCAAAAAAGAAAGAAAATCCCCAAAAAGAAAATACTTTCATCATCATTCAACACTTTCACCACACTCGCACATTATCACTGTTTTTGCAGAGGTGCTCAGAATACAACAGTCTAGAAGCATACACATATAAAGATACACAACATATCCCTCCAAACTGCCAATATCCCAAACCCCTCCTTTAAAGTGCAGGCATTGTACTTCCCATTTCCAGGACTCAAGTCCGACTATATGAAAATAACCGGTTTCCCTGAATCCCTTCACTAAATATTACCCTGCTCACACTCCAACAGATCGTCAGGTCCCAAGTACCATTCGTCTCCATTCACTCCTATCTAACACGCTCACGCACGCTTGCTGGAAGTCCACATGACCTATGTTGTGTACTTGGTGTGTGTAATGCACATCATGTCATGTGTACTTGTTTTTGTGGTATGTTTAGTCAATGTCTTCACATATTTATGAGGTGCACATGGCCTGTATGGTGCAAGTAAGCTCTCTAAAGCTATTCTATATAGTAAAATTGAAAAAGTACATCCAAAATTAAATAGCATATATTATGAAGTCCTTTTCATGTCCTGTTCAATTTTGGGTACACTTTTTCAACTGCATTTACAAAATATCGCACTATATAGAGGAACTTTAGAAGAGAGCTTGCAGTACTTCATTTGTTTGTAATAAGAATGTTAGTCTATGCACCATATCACTGAAGCAAAATGAGTCTTATTAATGGGGCTCATTTCTTTCCCAGTCTGAATTCATCAAAAAGATGGGTCTGGGAGGTGGCATGATCTGGGCACTGGACCTGGATGACTTCAAGAACCGCTGTGGCTGTGAACACCACCCACTTCTGAGGACTATCAACAGGGTCCTCAGAAACTACCCTCAACCTGATCCTCAGTGCCCCAGACTTGGAGGTGTGTGAGGGTGCTTTTTGTAGTAGTAGTATTGGCAGTTAGAATTAGTAGCAGCAGCAGTATTGGTAGTTAGTAGTAGTAGTAGTAGTAGTAATAGGAGCAGAAGCAACAAATGACATAATGATAGTGAAGGTGGTGGTAAGGAAAAGGGGTGAGAGTGAGGAGATGATGCAGTTATTGTGTTTGCCATTTCTCTTCTGTGAAGGCTTACTCAGCCCTGTAACAACTTCAGACAGTATTACTAAGGCTGGCTTCTCCTCAGGAAAATTAGTGAATAGAAAAAGAAATAATAACAGACAAACATAAACACTTTATTATATAGAAAATATAAAATATAAAACACTTAAATATGAAATATTAATCCTACATTAAATAAAATGAAAAATGAAAAATATAAATGATAACTGAATTCAACGCTAATATATATAGGGGTGTCTGGTGTTGGTGACACTGTGTTGTTGAAATCGTAGCTGTTGCTGATGATGGGGGGGGGGTCGCAGGTGTTGGTTACGACCCACTGGCTAGTTCTTCACAGTAGATAGAGCCTTGAGTATTATCCCGATGACAGGAAAGCAGGTTCTTGACCGCTGCAATGATGTGGGGTTACGTCCTGCAATTTCATACAGGTGCACAGGTAATTAAATCCAAAATGGGACGTCTCCAGGACGTTAGTCCGTCTCCTGTTCTTCTCGTTGATTGACAGGTGACCCTCACTGTTATCCAAGCTGAAAAGATAGACAGGTTACCCACTGCTTAAATAATCATTCTCCATGGCAAGTACAATCCCTAAAAAGATGTGGTGTTTTATTTCCCAACAGTCAACCTAGAGCAAAAATTAAAAGGGAAACTAAGTTTATTTTTGGGTCAAAATTGAAGTTTTTTTAACCCAAATAAATCCACTAGAATACAAGGCGGCCATGTACTTACAGTAGTTTTGGGGAAAGCTGTAAAGTCGAGTGTTTTATTTTACCAGACCCCAAAATCCCCTTTCGGGGGGGGGGGGGGAGAGGGGGGGGAAAGGGGATTCCCGGGAGCTAAAATAAAACCCTACCTTAACAAGCACCAGCAGTCAAATTTTCCCACTTTTCAGGGAGGGGGAAAAAAGGCAGGAAAAACGGAAGTTGATTTAAACCCTACCTTAACTAGAAAAGCCGGCAAAAAAACTATCACTTTCGGGGGGGGGAAAAAGGGGGGAAGTTTTGACTTCCCCTACCTTAACTAGTACCCGGGAAATAAAAATTTATTGTTACTATATCGCACCCTTTTAAATTGAATTTTTCCCCTCACATCCCCCTCCCAAGATTTTATAGTCAAGGAGATAAAAAGGGAAAGGCGGGGAAAAAAGTTCAAACTGGGGAAAGTCCCCGTAAGGCAACAAATCTTCTACTGACGGGTATGATTTAAACCAGTCAGAAAAATAATTGGAAAAAACCATTGTTTATACCCCAATATGGAATTTAAAAAAGCCGGGAGTCCCAATTCCCCCACAAGAGGCGACTTTTGGGTTCCCCAAAAAAGGGTTTCTAGGTATATAAAAGGTTTGTGGTCTTTTCTAAAATAAATTTTCTTTTCCCAGAAAATTTAAAATTTTAATTTTGGAAAGATCCCCCCACAAAAGGGGCTAAACTTTCCCTTTTTCTATTGAGGAGTATCTTGTTTCTGCGGGAAGGAGTTTCCGGTTGGGAAGCATACGGGGGAAGGGGAAAAGGTACCATCAGGGTATTGTAAAAACCCCCCAACCTAAGCCGGGGATTGGAGGCATCATTTTCTCAAACAAAATGTTTTTTAATACCCTGGAATTTTAAAGGGTATAGGGTTTTTCGAAAGATATTTTTAATTCATTAAATTTTTCCCCCGAGCTATGTCGGAAATTTCCCAAGGGGTTTTCCCTTCAAAACTTTTTAAGGAAGCGGTTTAAGAGGCCTGTAAAATCAGTAAGGTTCGGGTAAACTGGGCAAAAAAATTTTACAAAAACTAAAAAGTTTCGCATGAGCTTTTTTGGGTTTTTTTGGGGGAATTTAAATTCTAAAAAACTTTAATTTTACTGGGGAGGGGCCCTGAGAGAGTTATTAGAAAGTATCAGTCCAAGTATCTAATCTTTTTAAATACCCAAGGAAGCATTTTTTTCGATTTGGGCAGGGGAGGCCATGGGATGGGGAAAAACCTACGCAAAACGATTTTAATGTTTGGATATGTTCCCCCCCCGTAGAGTCATTACGTAAATGTTATAAAAATAAACTGAAACATTTGGCAAAATTCCCCAAAGACCTTTTCTCATCAGCCCTCACGTGGGTAGCACAGGCAGTTACCAAACCGAAGGGCATAGTTCTATTTTTGCATAAAGGTTCCCTTGGGGGTTTTTGTGGGAAAAAACCGGGTGTACTGTTAAAAGGGATCAAAACATTACTTGATTGCCTGCGCAATATCAATTTTTAAAAGAAGGAACGTCAAAAAATTTGTGTAGATCGCTATCTATTAAGGGCATGGGCCCTTCAGCTTCCCCCAATTTTTTGCTTTAAAGCCTCTGAAGTAAATTGAAATCTATAGAATTACCCCTTCTTAACCATGACTATTTGGTAAAACAATATAAGATACTAAAGGGTTCAAGGATTTTTTAGTTTTAAAATTTGTCTACCTCTCTTTTTTTCCCCAAAATGATCCCAAAGGGGGGTGAACTGGAACTGGGTATAATTTTCGTTTGATAGGATTGTCCTTTCACTAAGTCAATCTTATGGACTACCGTGGAGGTAACCCCGGGAAATATCAGTAAAAGACGTCTAAAAAGTTACCCCGCATTGAATTTAGTTCATTTTTTGGTGGCCGGGTTTGGTTAACCTCTGGGCTTCAAAGGGCGGGGGGTCTGGGTTTTTTTTCCCCAGCCAGAGTAGAAACATTGGGCGTGTTTTTTTCCCACCTTTTTGTCTTTTTCCCCCCCATCAGAAAAAGGGGTTTACCTGGGTGTTTAGTCGACTGGTGGGGAAAAAAATCCCCATCCTGGGACACTGCCCAAAATTTGCCCGAGTTTGCTCAGCATAAAAAGTGGTTTTCCCTTGTAGTAGAATGTCATTTTTTGTCACTGGGGCTGATACCATGTACATGTACTTGTAGTAAATAAAGATTATTATTTTTATTATTATTTTATTTTTTTAATTTTTGGTTGCTTCCGATTTGGCAAGAGTCCCCAAAGGGTTTATTTTCTTCATCATATTTTAATTTAAGGTGTCAATTACGAAAAAAACATTTTTACTTTCTTCGTTGTTTTATCAAGTTCTTTGGGGAAAAAACTAAGTCAAAGTTTAAGGCAGTTTAACCAAATTTTTTGGGTAAAAAATTTTTAAGGATGTTGATATGATAAAGTTTGGGTTTTTCCCCTTGCCCTTCTAGGGAGGTAGTAAATTTTCCCCAAAATTTTTTTTAATACTTTATAGGGCCCTTTCCATGCAAACAAAAAATTTTTTTGGGACTTGTAGGAAAAAGGGTACAAGTTTTTTCATCTCCTACTTTAAAACTTCTCCTTGACTTTTGGAATAAAAAATGGGTTTTGTACGGGTCCATTGAAAAGCTTTGGGTTTTTCGAAACTATGTCAGAGGTCTCCTCAAGTTTGGATCTAAGTAAAGGAAAAAGGGTAAGAAGACTAAACCTCAGCTTTTCCCTCCTTTTTTTTTGGGCCATAAGTCATAAAGGGATGGACAGTGGCCCTTTCGGGCCCCTGTCTACCATAGAGAATTTTCAAAAGGGGGAAAACCCCCAAAGAGTCACGGGGAACTTCCCTCATGGAAAAACAAAGCACGGGGTAGGAAAACGATTCCATTTCCTTGGGGTTTAAGGGAGAAAAATTTTTCCTTAAAAGGACTTGAGAACAAAAATGTGGCCTAAATTTCCTCCCATTCAGCGGGAAAAGGAAAAAGGGGTGGTGAAGAGAACCCTTCACTCCTAGAAGTTGGTAAGTTTGCATTAAGTCAATGTGTTTGGGTGCCCCCAGGGTCAGAAAAAATTTTCCCTCTAGGGATCCCCAATCTGGGGGAAGATGGAAAAAAGGGGCTTCAGCCCCCCTCTGTAGTATTTTATGGCCCTTTAAGGGAACGGCTTCGGGGAAAAACTCGAAGTTTTCAAATAATGTTTAAATATAACTATTCCCCCCAAAATGAAAATGGAGATAAAGGACCAACGATGTCAATTTGCTACTCTTTCAAAAAGGTTTCCGTTTAAAAACTGGCATTTTGGGCCTAGGTACTCGCCTGGTACCTCGGGAGGGGTGAAAAGTTGGGAAAATTTACACGTTTTACAATAAGTAGTGGGCAAACTGAAAGGGCTTTTTGGGCCCAAAAAAAGGTTTCCCTAATTTTTTTAAAGTTTTACTATGCGAGAAATGTCCGGCCCCTGGCAGGTCAGGGGCCATTTTTAAAAACAGTCTCTCTGCATTGAATTGGGGCCCAAATAAGACAAATAGTCCCCCGGGCTTTATCGAATTTAATTTGAATACTGACTTGTGCAAGATAAACCCTTTTTTATATTCAATTTATATGAAAAATTTTTTCCCTTTTGGTCCTTGATTTTTTTTTGCGGCATTTTTGGCAATTCTGAAGGGAAGGGGAATTAAGTTGCAAATTGACAAGGGGTCCTTCGATATGTCTAAAAGGGTTAAAATAGGGGGAAAATTTAAAGGATGGACAGTAGGGGAAACATGGGCTTTGGTCAACCCCACAAGACATTTTTGGATCGGAGGGGATATCTTTTACTTTCATCTAAAAGTGAACCGGTGATCCCATCCTCGCTTTTGAAGTAGCTACTGGGTTTTTAAACCCCCATGAATCCACGAGACCCTTGTCTCATCTGAACTTTTGAGGGCTTCTCTGACTCTACAGGAAGGGGGATTGAAACACCAATGTCCATCTTTGGTGATGAGAGGTCAACCTCAGAAAGGGAAAAATGGACCTTTTTCATTACCTCTTAGTACGGGGCAAGAAGTGATTGGGGGGCTAGTTCGGCTTTTAGACCAACCTGTGAACCTTTAGGCCCAAAGTAACAACCCGGGTGGAGGGAAAAATGTCTGTACGGGCCCCAAATAGTCCCGAAAATATAAACAGAGGGAAAAAAGGTTTTTTTTAAGTTTTGGGAAAAAGTTATCAGAAAAATTCCAAAACATGTGCAACCAGTTCTCGTTTAAAATTTGGGAAACATTAATCCAAATTTAAATGTTCCTGAACAGAAGGGGGCTTGGTCATTTCAAGCTTTTTAAAACCCAAAACTTCCAAATTTTTTTGGGCCTTCTTAGAAAAGGGCAATCTGGATGTTTATTCCCTTAAAAAAACCCCACAAATGACAAACAGGAAAAAAAGAGTCAATTTTTCTTTCCCCTAGAGGCTTTGATTTCTTTAGGTTGATGAAAACCTTTTCCCCTTTGGGTTTTTTCCCCTTTTGGTCTTTATGGGGTTGTGAGCCTCAGCATACAGGGCAGCAGCCTCAGCAACTTCCTCACTTTAAATTTAGGTTACGTTCTCTTTAAAGTGTTTGTATCTGGTGGGGGAAGAAACTGTCAGGAACTGGGCAGTAACCATGAAGTCTCGAAGAGATTCATAACTGTGATCAATTTTCCCGAACTCCAATTTCCAAAAAGTCGAAAACGAAAGAGTGTTTCCTGTAAAATGTTTGAAATTTCGGGGAAAGGGTGTAGGGGCATACCTGAAAATTTCTCCCTTAAAAAAAGAAAAAAAATTTAAAAATTGGGGTTTTTGATAGGGTTTAAAAGGGTTTGGGTTTTTAAATTTCATATGGGTAACCTGCGACAAAGTTGCATAGAAATTTAAGGCTTTTACCAGAAAATAACATTCCTAACCTGGTTTTGCCCAGGTGTCAGCCCGGGGCCTTTTACGAGGGTAGCGGGAAAATTTTAAACCGATAATGTATTCCCTTCCCCCCCTGTGAAGGGGGGTAAATTAGGTGTTGAAATATGTGCCCCTGACTGCACGTTGTTCCATTACTCCTTTTTAATTGTTTTTTGTGTAAAAGTTAAAATTTTTATTCTCAATTTTAAAGCGAGATTTTTTCGAGCTCGGGATCCTTTTTCTCTCTATTAAATTTTGTTCTCTAGCTTTTTTTCCCCAACTTTCTATCCTTTGCCTTTCCTCAAGTTCCTTTTAAATTTAAAACCTTTTCCCCACGTACTTTTGTTTGTTCCTTTACTTAGCTGTTTCCCCACTTCCCTAGCCTTTCCCCCACGATCCCAAACTCATGCTCCCCTTTTTGGGCTTTTTGCTCTTTTCTAACTGTCTTTTTTGGATTTCTCTCCAATTCTCTCTCCTCCTTTTTCTCCTGTCCTTTTTAAGGGTTTTCTTTCCCTTTCCCTCTTCTCTTTTGATTCTTCTCTCTCCTTTTTTTTCTTCTCTTTTCCCCTTTTTAAAAAAAAATGTCTCTCTTCTCTTTCAATTCCCCTCTCTTTCAAATCTTTCCCGGATCTTAGCACTAATGAAAGATTCCTAAATTTTTTCCCCGTTTTTCCTAAATTACTTCCCGGGGTTCACCCAAAAAAAAGGGATTCCTTTCCTGCTTGCAAGAATTAAATTAAAAATATCAGGGGAAAAAAAACGGGTATTAAAGGAAAAAGGAGGGTTTAATTCCTGGGTCCACTCAAACTATTTTTAAAAATTTTCAAGGGGGTCGTCCCTGCTTTAGTTAAAAATTGAAATTTAAAAAAAACGAAGGGGTTTTAGCCGGGTCCGACAAACAAATAAGAAAAATGGGGTCCCTTTACACCAATCTTTTTCACCAAAAATCAAGAGTGTCCTTTGAACCCGTTTTCCCTTTTATATAATAAAGAGCTCCAAAGAAAAAAAAGTTTTTCACTGGAAAAAACTCGGGTCCCTAGGGGTTAATCCTCCCCAAAATGTTTCAAGCTTACATAAAAAAGTGGCAGAATTAAAAATTATATCCGGGCCCGACTTGATTAAAAAAAATTTTAGACTATAAAAAATCCCAAATCTTCTAAATTCCTGTAACCCTAGTCCCCCCAAGAGAATGATTACTCATGGCTGGTGGTTTAACCCTCTGTGGTATGCAGCGTTTTAAGTTCCCAAAGGTAGATTCGAGATGGAGTTGAATCTTGATTCAAATAGAGTTGATCCTGGCAAGGGTTTCCCCTTGTGAAAGGGGTTACTCAGCCCTGTAACAACCCTTTAGACAGTATTACCAAGGGTGGCTCCTCCCCAGGGAAAAATTTGTGGAAAAAGAAAAAAAAATAAAAACAACAAAAAATAAAAACTTATTTTTATAGAAAATATAAAAAATTAAAAAAACTTAAATATGAAATATTAATCCTACATTAAAGAAAAGAAAAAAAGAAAAAAATAAATGGAAAAAAATGAATTTAACGCTAATATAAATAAAAGGGGTCTGGGGTTTTTGGGACACTGTGTTGTGAAATCTAGCCCTTTGAAGATGGGGGGGGGGGGTTTCAGGGGTTGGGTTTCGACCCACTGGGTAGTTCTTCACAGTAATAGAGCCCTTTAGTATTATCCTGATGGCAGAAAAGCAGGGTTTTTTACCGCTTTCAATGATGTGGGGTTATGTCCTGCAATTTCATACAGGGGCACAGGGAATTAAATCCAAAATTTGGGCGTCTCCAGGACGTTAGTCCGTCTCCCGTTTTTTCTCGTTGTTGACAGGGACCCTCCCTTATTTCCAAAACTGAAAAGTGACAGGTTACCCACTGCTTTTAAAAAATTTACTCCCCCATTTTCAAGTTTCAATACTCAAAAGAAAGTGGGATTATTTCAACAGTCAACCTAGAGCAAGATGAAAGGGCAAATTTTTCTATTGGTCAAAAATGAAGGGTTTTAAAACCCAAAAAATCCACTAGAATACAAGGCAGGCATGAAATTACAGTAGTGTTGGGAGCTGGGTCGGGGATTTTTCTGTTTGACCAGAGCCCCCCAAAGTCACCTTTTGGGGGGGGGGGGGGGAGGGGGGGGAAGGGGTAGCAGGGCCCAGGGCTCCTACCTTAACAAGAGCCGGGCAAATCCCAAAATAAACACTTTTAGGGGGGGGGAAAAAAAAAGGCGGGGAAAAAAGGGGGCTTGATTACCCCACCTTAAATAGTAGGGCAATTTAAACTATCACTTTAGGGAGGGGGAAGAAAGGCGGGACTTGGGCTTGCCCCACCCTTAAATAGTAGCTGGCAATGAAAACTATTGGTTACTATATCGCTACTCCTATCTCTTGAACTTTTCCCTCACATCTTCAAACCTTTCCCAAAATGGTTTGTGATTATTGGTGTTTATTGACCAAGCACTTACAAAAACAATTATAATAAGTATATGTTGCCACAAACCGCATTCCATTCCTCAGCTCACTACAGTGCCGTCATATAGAACTACATCATTGAGGCTGGGGTCCCTCAGGTAGGTCTACATCATAAGCTCAGCTCACTCAGATATGCTCTGAGCGATAAATTTTGGCCTAAATATGAGAGAAAATGGTCTGTGTGGTGAGTGTGCACATGTATAAAAAAGAAATCCCCCTACTTGGTTCATGATGGGAAGAGCAAAAGTCTAGACCACATGTTTGGTGTAAAATAGTGACTTTGAGGTGTTTTCTAGGATGCTTTTTATGATTTTGTTGGCTTTTTTTCTTCTTGGTATCATTTGATAAAATGGAAGAAGTACTACTGAAATAGAGATGACTCTTGTTGGTTTCCACGAATTGAAAGTATAGCTTGGAAATTGGGCTCAGAAAGCAGCAAAAAAATATGTTTTTGTCATTTTCCTGAAGATGGGTCAAGGCCCCATCACCCCAATTGTTTTTATGAGTTTTGTAATAGTCTAATTCCAATATTGGAAAGCTGTAAACCATGACCAAACATTCTGTTCTAAGTGGACCCGGGTTAACGATATTTTTTCCTTCCAGAAGACTGTTCAAGTGCAGTATGACCAAATTTTGTCCATAAGGAATATTGTGAGTAGATGAGTCCATTTCAGACCCCTAACATAGGAGTTACAAACACACTGAATAAATACACTTTCAATAATTGGGTCGCATTGGAAGGTGAACGTTTAAGCGGGGGTCCATGTATTATATTTTCAAGAATTGAGTAATTTTTTTTATTTCTAATTTCAAAAATGGAAGGCTATGTGTAATATAAGAGAGGCCTCAGGATGTGATTAATAAACAAAAGGAAATGTTGTAGTGCTAGGGCATGTTGCTTTAACTATTTTTGCACTCTATTTTTAAATTGGTATCTTTTAATTTAGGTGTAAAAATTGGCCCAAATTTACTGTCCTCTGTGATGCTTTTATCGGAGGATTAGTTTTTGTAACAGTTGAATGGTGTTTTTTGTAAGGTCAGCGTAGAACGAAGGCTACTAGAAGAAATAGTAAGAATTGGTCAAAATCACTACTTTTTGTGCCTGTGTCATCCATGAGGTTTCCATCAGATTTGATGCTTTTGGTGTCATTATCTTTGGAAATAAGATTTCAGCCATTTCAGAATAATTTTTTTTTTTTAAACGTGGACACTGAGAAGCATTTTATTAATTTCTGAGGTATGGACAGTGAAAGGGTTATGTGTACATACTTCATAACATTGCATATTATAGTGTAATAAATAATATTTTTTTTCAGCATGATTAAATGTTTTGTTTCAGAGATGGGTTGACACTTAGTTGTGCTGCAGAAAAAACCTAATTATGCAGAGCATTTTGGGCAAGATGAGAGGAAGTTGATAATGAATAAGAAAAGCTCACTCATTCTATATTTCTCCCTCAGGTGATCAGTCACTGAGTGAGGCTACAGGACTGGTCCCAATGCCCTCAGGACCCCCAGACATTTCACATGTTGTGCCCTCTGTTCTACCAGTCGCTGTGGCTGAAAGACAGGAGTGTCAACTGGTGCCTTGCTAGCTCACCACCAGACGGGAAAATAGTGTTGTAAATACCGTGTACCAAATACTTAGAGTGTGTTCATGGCAAGTTACATGAACGTAATTGTGGTTATGGTCTTATGTGGGCTAAGGTAAGTGTTCTTTGGACAATGAAGGATAATGATGATAATGATAAATTTCTCTAAGTCATACAAATATTGTAAATACGTACCTGAATCAGTAAATAGTAGGCACAAAAGAAAGCCATTAATTATGCATGGCATACCTTTACTTTGGATGAAGATTCCAAGAGCATGAATTCCAAGTGCTTTTCTACTCCTGGAACCTGGCCATAGGCCAGGCTTGTCTAGTGCTTGCCTGGTCAACCAGCTGTTGCTGTTGGTGGCCCGCAGCCTTACATATTCTTCATAGCCTGGTTTATCTGACATCTTGAAGTCTACTCTCTTCATGGAGTTGAGGTACATGTTACTTCTCATGGGTTGGAGTGAAAGAGAGGGGTCGAGCCCCACCCCCCCCCCCCCACCCCCCCCTCCCCCCCCCCCCCCCCGAGAATTTTAGTGTATTATATAATTATGAGACGTTAACATCTGTTTGAGAATGTCATGTAATGGTGATAATAACATTATGTTAAGAGAATGCGGGAAGATGTGAAATAGATCCCCTGCTCGTGAAGCGAGATTTCTGTCAGAGGATGAGTGAAAGTTTTATGGAATCCGACTCTAAACCGGGACAAACCAACGAATACCTTTGTCTGCTGGAACTAAGAACAGGGTCGGTTTTGGTTTGTAGAGGGACATCAAATGGATTGGTTGAATGGAGGAAAATAAGGAGCATCAATCACCCCCAGTTAAGTAAACCATTTCTAGTTATAACAGACTGATATGGCCCAGTTAGGTATTGTGTTTAATTGGATAGGTTAATGGGTGATCCGAGCCACATCAATTGGATCACCAGGGAATATCTGGTAAGTGATGGGCTTATGTACAAGTGTTTTTCCGTGATGGATATATCATGTGTAACTACACCCCCCCCCCTTTTATTCAGTTACAACTTATAAATATTACAGTCCACAATTAATTAGTAGACCGTACTTGTGGGTGCTATCAATCCTTATGGTACGGATAGATTGGATAGATTGTGAGGTCGAAGGAACCACTAGCGCGGGAACCAATCTTGGGCGGAACTTATACTGAGTCAAAAAAGGAGAATGTTAGTGTGCATCATTAGCAAAGTTTTACTGCCAGAGGGGGGGAAAAAAATCCTAGCCTGGGTTGCCGTGGAAAAAACTAATAATAATTGAAACTTTTCTTGTCCTTGAGGAAAGAAAAGTTCTGATAACCTTGTGTATTACCTAGGGTTATTGTTGTATCTACACTGGCTCACTTAGTTTATAGATGATATAAGGCTCTAAAGTATCATTTGAAAACAGGTGAATTGGTAAATGAGTGATAGCCTATAAGGAGGTGCCCAGAAGTCGCCAGAAACTTACCACAGGTTCAGCTGTTTTAATAATCTTCCTGGGTGCTAGTGTACTCGCATTATCTAGTAATACCCGTGTATAGCAGAATACAGATGTTGTTTGTAGTTAGCAAACTAACCAGTATTATAATGGTAATTATTGGAGTGGAGTGACTTTCATTAGTTTCTTTTTTTCATGAAATACCTGACGTTATACTGTGAAGTTATATAACTGTAGTTACCGTTGGGGCCACTATACACACGAGAAGCAATTATTACTACAGTAAAGAGTCTTCCTCCACCAAAATTTCCACCAGTCAGCTATTGTGATAATATAGATTTATTGTGGTGGAGGCGCAAAAAGAAAAACTAAAAAGCTAGATACGCATTGATAAAACCAAGGGTTTTGAGGCTCGTACCGTTTCGTCATGTAGGAGTTGCCAGCAGTACGTGAGGAATGTCAATCACTGCAAGTTATACTTTTGTATCATTCAATTACATATTACTCGGGTAGAATTTTCTGTAGATCCTTCATGTGTTAGCCAAATCAAAAACCAGTATGCTTTAAATAATTGACCCACTGAATAAGATTCAGACTGGCTCCGAACCCTCGATGGACCGAACCCTCGACTGGTCGAACCGCCTTGACGGTTTCAAAGGATTCATTGGTACAATAAAGCTGACGGTAAACGGATTGGCGTTGTAGGCGCCCATATAAACTCACAAACAATAAAATATAAAACAAACTCAGCGCGTCTCCAGGTAAAGCTGTCCTGATATACAAGTAAGTTAGAATAGAAATACAGATAGTAGCGCATTTTATTTAAGGAGGTTATTACTAGAGTATTAAGAGGTTGCTAGTAGAATTACAGTAAATCAACATTAAATCATTATGGAGCTGTGTTTTGTGGTCTGCACTAAAATCAACAAACGGGCTTTCCACATGGTTAAATTGTCATTTTTGTGGAAAATTGTGTCACGCCCCTTGTGCAGGATATCCAGAACTAGCTAACAAGCAGTATTTAAAACAGGGAAGTGTTTTTTTGGGTTTGCTCAAGGAGATAAATCTTGGACTAAAATCACAGGGTATTATAAAGAGGTAACATCAAAGCTGCTTTCATAGACAACTGGAAGCTTTCTACAACAGATGGACAACCTAAAAAGTCTGGGATGAATGCGTACTGCCTTGATATGGCATGTAGTCAGAATACTGTACGGGCTGGAGGTGATGTCTGGTGTTCAGTTAAATGTGGGGCTGATAGTGCTGTCCTGGGAGACCAGTAATGGTGTAGCTGGAATGCTGTCTGAAGACAGTAAGTAATGTGGAAGCTGGAGGGTGCCTGTCCGGGGGAGGAGACAGTAAAGGTGGAAAGCTGGAGGTGCTGTCTGGGAGACAGAATGGTGGAAGTGGAGATTTTAGTCAGGTAGTGGGCCATTATACGCAGGAAGGACATGCATATAAATGACCTCATAAGGTAAGGAAGCGTAGTGGGGGAAACAAGTGTAGTCAAAGATAAGCTAAACCACTCTTGCACAAAACTAAGAATACAACCGGATATACGCAAACCAGAGGACTCCATGCAAATAGTGAGGATATATTACCAAAAAACAACTGGTGGGAGCTCCATTGTTGGTGATAGGGAAGAAAGGATAAGAAGGTATATCATGCACCAACAGGGAATACAGTCCAGAAACCCCAAGGCACACGGGAAACAAGTGTGCACATACTATGCATTGGTCTCTGCAGACATGGGAAATCTGGAAAAGAAAAAGATGGGACGTGCACAAACTATGACCACCCTAGAAAATATGCCATGCCATTGACCACAAGGAAAATGCAATCTCACTTCCTGTAAGCTTTTCACTGAAATGTGTACCTCTTCAGTACCGGAAAGACTGAGCTATAATAACAATTTCCCAGGCCACCATTCTAAAGGGGGACAAAAAGCTAAACAAACATCAGGCCATGGGAAAGAAAAAAGAACACTGGGTAGCCACGCCACTCCGAGGGAGAGGTTTTTAGTGCCAGGAAGGAAAAAAAAACTGGCAGGAAAAAGGCCAGAAATTGTACACCAAATCAGTTTTCCTTGGGAGTGGACCACAGTCGATGCCTCCACTCCAAAACCTACAGATACAGTTAAAAATGCCGGAAAAAAAATCCCCCCCCAGAGAGTTACCAACAATACCAACCAGTCGATGACATTCTTCTTAGGCAAATATACAGGGTCTAAAGCAGCATACAAACAAACAAAATACCTTTCCTCGTGACTGCCTTGCAGAGGCAAAGGGCAATGTTCGCGGCTTTCACTGAGACCCCACATAAAGGGAACGCTTGGACAACAAAATATGGATCCCAGGTTACAACCTATTCAGATTGTGACACGACGTAACGCAAAAGGGACGGGGTTGGCTGTACATTGCAGAGTCACCTTGTTTGACAGAACTGCTTAATGCCTCAAATGATGTTGTGGAGTTTTTGCAGTGTAAAGGATCGAGAACCAAAACCTAGTAATTGTGGTAGTCTACAGCTCCGGATTGCAAACATCCGCAGCAATTTTCCAGGAACAGCTGTTAAAAATTGACCACTGTCTGGAAAATCTTCCAGCTCGTCACCCCAACATCTTGCTCCTGGGGGATTTCAACTTAAGGCACCTAAAATGGAGAGGAATATAGCATATAATATTGTTGCAGTAATAACACCAGGAGGCAGCTCTGATGAAAACTCCACACTCACACGAGCTTGTATTCTCTGCACAAAATCACTTTAAACCTGCAAATATAGAGGCATATACTTAGAATGGAGTATAATAGCCTCATCTTCACTTAACAATGATGATTGATAAGAAATGTCACCATATCAAAACAAAATACTAGATCACAACATAATTGCGGTTTCAGGCATAGTATGCGCGGAGCCCCCCCAGACGACAAAATGTGATTAGTCCGAGGGGAGCATTCACCAAATTCAACTTCAATAACAAAAACATAAAGTGGGACCAAGTAACCAAGTCCTAACGATATAAGCTGGGAAGATTATACTAAGGCAACTCAGACCCCAATTATGCTAGAAACAGATTAACTGTGGGGCGCACTCGAGGTATGCACACGATTATACTCTAAGAAAAGGAAGGAGTTGATGTAAATAGGAAAGGAAGGCGCTCCCTTTATCAAAGGCGACGGAAAATACTAACAGGAGCGGCTCTAAAAGGGTCAATCTATCTGTTAATGCGTCGGGAGGACCACTGGTCAGAGAAATAGCAAAACATCGAACTTAAGCTTAAAGGAATCTTATAGGGTCGAATTCGCGGGGGAAGAATTAAAAGCCTAAATTAAATCGAAAGAAACCCAAGTTTTTCTTCTCTATGCCAAATCATAATCCCCCCCTCCCCCCCCACCCCCAACCCCCCCCCATCCACCCCCCCCCCCCCCCCCCCCCATCCCGGAGACAACGTCCGTATTGGCCCTTACTTAAACAAGATGGGGTCCTTACACATATTGCAGCATGGAAATGAGGGAGTATCAAGTCATATGACTCAGTTTTTTAGCAGCCACTAATCAGGACTGAGAGTGAAGGATCAAATGAAATTTTTTATTGAGTGAGCCCACAGAAATCTGGTTATCACAAGCCTATCTGATGTCTATCTGACGCCACCAAGGACTTCGAACCAGGCGA